GCAGCTGCAGCTATTGAAGAGATGTGTTCGTGCCAGATCAGGTCCTCGGTGATCTGGACTCCGACCAGCCGAAATGAATGGCTCTTTGGTAGGACTCGACCGTCCATCGAAACTGTATGAGCGCTAGGACGCTTTTTGTTCGTCAAAGTACAGTACTGTGTTTTGGAAGCATTGAACTGTACAAGATTGTTGCGTCCCCAAGCAGTGATAGCCTCCAGGTCTCTTGTCAGAGAAGAAGTCGTCGCTAGTCTTCTTTTTTGCAGCTCAGCGGCAGAGATCGGCTTGTCACTCTGAATTCCTGCATGTAGAGTGCTGTCATCAGCGAAGCTGTGGATTGGGTTGATCGTGCAGGAAAGGTGGTCGTTGATATGTAAGAGAAACAGTGTTGGAGCCAAGATCGATCCCTGGGGAACACCCGCGTTGACGTTGTGGGATGAAGAGGAGAATCCGTCAACTACGACGGATATCTTGCGGCCAGAGATAAAGTCAGCCACCCATCTGCAAAGCTTTTCTGGGAGGCCGTAGGATGGAAGTTTGCTCAAGAGGGCAGCGTGCCACAGCTGATCGAACGCTTTCGTGATGTCAAGAGCAACGACATGAGCCTCACCATGAGACTGGATGAGTTTACTCCACAGTTGCGTGACGTAAGCTAGGAGGTCCCCTGTGGATCGTTGGTGCCGGAAACCGTACTGCCTGTCGCTAATCAAGCTGTGACGTTCGAGGTAGTCCAGAAGCTCGCGATTTATGCACCTCTCCATCACTTTACTTATAACAGAAAGCAGAGCTATAGGCCTGTAGTTGTAAGGGTCGGTTTTAGATCCTTTTTTTGGGATGGGCTGTACATGAGCAAATTTCCAGTTTTCTGGGAAGGTGCCGGATTCATAAGATATCTGGAAGAGACGCGAAAGAACTGGAGCAAGCTCAGCTGCACATCTCTTCAGTACAATGGCAGGAATCAAGTCCGCACCAGAAGCTTTGTTGATGTCGAGCGACAAGAGCACTCGTCTTACGGTCTTATGCCTGAATGTTACCTCCCGCATAGTGTGGGGAACCCTTTGAATTGACGGCACTTGGGCGTTGGTCCATGGTGGAGTTGGCAGCAAAGATCTTGGCTAGCACTTCCGCCTTGGCCTTTGAGTCGAATACAATAGTTCCATCCTGACACGTAAGTGGTGGAAGGCTACTGTGTGAGAAGTTCTTTTCAATCTGCTTGGCCAGCGTCCAGAAAGACCGACTGCCATTGCGCTGCGACATTACCCTGTGCCTAACTTTTATATCATGCTGGGTTTTGGCATTGCGAACCGCTTCGTTATATTTGTTTCTGGACTCGACGTCGGCTTGTCTGTTCTCTACAGTGGGGTTTTGTAAGTAGGTTCTGTGGGCCCTGTACTCCTGCCCATAAGTTCAATGAAAATCTATGTTGGAAATTTGTACGGCGAACAACTTTTGGATTTTCATCTGACCAGTGATGCATGTTATGGAAATTGAAAGCACCATTCCTAGTAAATATTGACTCATCCGACCATAATATTCAGGGAATAGTGTTTTCATTTGCTAATATCCATTGGCAAAACTCGATTCGTGGTAAAAAATCTGGCTCCGTTAAATAATAATAAGGATGTAGTCGTTGCATTCTTGTCATTATTCCTATCTAAAATTATTATTTTTAGGATAACTATCAAATAGGTATTCATAAATTTTTCTTACTATTGATCGAGGTATATCCATAATTTCTGAAACATTTCGTATGCTTATTTGCGGATTATTTTCAAACATATTTAAAGCAATATCCATACGATGATTTCCCTGAGCCCTGCATGCGCTGAAAACTTCCATGGTTTGACAAATTCCGGTGAATATCAGTAAACATTCGACGTCCAGGTACTATGCGATTGGGAAATCTTCTTTGATATTCTCTTACGGCTGCCAATGAACTGCCATTGCAAAACCCGTACACAAAATGCATGTCAGTTAGTTCTCTGTCTGTAAATCTTGGCATTTTAAATCGATTTAATAAAAATTTTGATGTTAATCTAGTAATTTTACACTGCTAATAATGTCAGCTTAACGTCAAAATAAGTCATAACAAACCAAAACAACTTTTGTTTGCTGTCATGGCTAACTATGTATAATCAACGATTCATTTAAATTCGCAGTACATTTCCTATCATGTGACAAATTTTTTAGTTTGATTTTATTCAAAAATGGCACAATTTATCTATATTCAATAGTACCTTTTTTATGTAGAAAACCTTAGATTTTCAAATTCTAAAATTGAATTTCAAAAATAGAATCACACAAAAATTTTGGGGCTAAAATAACCTGAGTCCGTCCCTGTTACATACGCTTCTAAACAAAACTGTCTAAAATTGCTAATATTTTTAAATCCAGCATAAAAAACTAGGCTAGAATACCAAATTTTACATCTTTATCTCAACTCGTTTCGGAAATATTAAGGAAAAACCATCTTCAGGGGAGCCCCTTTAAAAGACCGTAGCGCCCTCGACCTATGTTTATATAAACTGTTCTTTCTATTTTAAGCTCTAGAAACCGCTGGTAGAATATTGCACACTTTTTTCGGGACACCCTGTATATATACTTCGAAGTTGAGTCATTTATTTTAACAGTGAGTAGATCTGATCAAAAGAAATGTTTTTTCCTTTAACATTTTTCTGGTAAAATTAAAGTAACAAAGTTTAGAAGTTTGAGTACCGTCCTGTCTCAATAATAATATTATGTGCTCGTGTTTGGCGACAACGGATATAATCCGTTGTATCCGTTCATCGCATCGGAAACAAAAAAGCGAAAGAATTTGAAACGATGTTTTTACTACAATGTACAATTTTATTCAGTTGTATTTAGTCGATGTGTCAGTCGGTAACGCGTGAGTGAATAGTGGTGTTTGTTGCGTGGCTCAAACGAAATAAAAAATGGCACCTGTTTACGAAAATGCTGAATGTAGTACAAAGGGCTCGTGAATCAGGTGACTTAAGACCTCACACGGTATTCAGATATTTTTGATGTTGCAGAGCCCTTTAGCTCGGTTCCCTTAAGACATTGGTGTATATGGTACTAAGAAAAATTGCTTATGTTTTCAAGATCTACAAGTCGTGTAAAGGAAAACCCCAACTTTGCGGACACCCTGTATATATATATATATATATACAAATTCAACTTATAAGGGAAAATTACCTGGGTTGGAAACTTATAAATTGTTAGCACCAATAAACTGACATATACTCCCCCCACCCCCTACAGCCCGAATAATTTTTTTCTGAAAATGATCAGGGGCCTCTGAAACGTAAAAAACGAAGGTTGAGATATTTTTTTCGTGTTTCTCCGCCGCCTCTGGACCAATTTTCAAAATTTACAAAGCTTTTTAACCTTGAGTAACCTTGAGTGAAAATTTCATCCAAATCCAAGTTATAGGCCGTCCAAAGATTAGCGGACAGACAGACTGATAGAATGACCAACGGGAATGAGAGACCGTTTTTCGTGATGTAAATGTCATATAACATCCAAAAGATGGCGTCAAGTAGTATCAGTTCATAAAGGATTATGATCGGCATAGACTATCAATCAAACAGGTCCATACAATAATTAGTCCATAGGCATTCTTTCCCTGCCTTACCGGTAGTGCATATGAAAACGTTGCCTCTCTGCGGTTAGGCGTGGCAGTGCGGTCAGAGCATAGGCAACAATATACTGTGGAGCAAAAATACATGTACTACCATAATAGATCAACCAAGGCCAGCGGCACGACGTCGGGAGCAGCAGCTGCGGCCGGTAGGTACGCGATCCATCTGCTGAGGATCTGAGTTTTAAGGGTTAATGTACGGAGGTATGTGAAACAGGTGCGTAGAATTATCAAGGTTGGGACCGAATAATGTACTAACATCAAAAAATGGAGATAAACTCTCTCCACCGCCCTACAACCCCCACCTCTAAGTTTTTAAGTTTTTAAATTATCAGGATCCTCTGAAACGTCAAAAAACGAAGTTTGACGATTTTAATCTTTTTTGTTATAGGCCTTTTTCTCTGCCACCATTGGACCGATTTTCTTGGCATAATAGTAAGTAACCTGAATTTTTTTCAAAAATGATCATTATCCTCTGAGAAGTAAAAAACGCAGTTTGAGCGACTTTTATTGTTTCGTTTTTGTCCTCTTTCTCTGTCGCCACTAGATCCGATTTTCAAAAAGCTTTTGCATCCTTGGCATAGTAGTAACATTGTGTGAAAATTTCATCGAAATCCGAGCGGTACTTCTCAAGTTTTAGGCGGTCATAAGATTAGCGGACAGACCGATAGACAAGCAAACAGACCGACGGAAATGAGTGACATGGTTTTTCGTGATATACATGTCATGTAGCATCCACGAAACATAAAATCTCATTTTCGAACATTTTCGCGATTACAATACTTCCACGCCAGTAGGCGTGAGACTTAAAAACATATCTTATTTTCATTTTTTTGCGATTGCAATACTGCCTCGCCCAGTGACGTAGGAAGTAAAAGAAATCAATTGATGATTTTTTCAAGCACATCAAATAAATAGAACGAAGAATATTTAGGGGATTAAGCAAATCCCAAAAAATGTTGTTTCTTCCAGCGTTCGGAAAGTACTCCAGGTAGTCGATGTAGATAACACCTTGTTTATCCCAGATAACGGTGGCCGTCACCTTTTCGGCCGTTAGGACAGACTGTCCTGTTTCCTTCTTCGCAGCACGTTCGCCAGGTGAAGTCCACTGTTCCTTGGTCTATAATGTGTGCCAGTGGATCCATGTTTCGTCGACGGTCACGAAACGACGCAGAAACCTATTCGGACTGCGCTTAAACAGTGTCAAACACTGCTTTAAAATGGTCTCATGGTTGCGCTTGTTGTCCGGAGTGAGCAAACGCGGCACCCATCGCGCAGACAGCTTTCTCATGCCCAATATTTCATGCAGGATATGACCCACGCGGTCTTTTGACATGCCTACTGTCTCACCTATCTGGCACACCTTCAATCGGCGGTCTGCCAATACGAGATCGTAGATTTTTTTGTTAACCTCCGTGGTAGCCGTTTTCGGGGCACCTGGGTGTGGCTCATCAAACACCGACGTGCGACCACGTTGAAACTCGATAAACCAATTTTTGTTGGTCGCGGTCGTGCAGATGCAAAAATACTCGTCTTCGACTCGGATTTTTGTTGCCACCAGCAATCATGCTTCTTGTTAAAATATTACGTGTTTTTTCAATTTTTTTTCGGAAGAATTGGTGGCCCTTGTGATATTACTTATAAGAATATTTTGCTACGCAGCTGGATTTGACATTGCTTCCAGTTTCGCGATTTGATCACAATATCAGATGAACTTTGTGTGCATGTGCACACCCTGTATTTTTCAATGATTGATTCCGCGTACTTGAATCTTGAATTACAGGAATCAGCAAAAAAGTAGTTACTGTTATCTAACCTAAATGTGTATGTAGTATAAATTTACAAATTTTTCATTTGCCATGTACGTATGGTGGTGGTAGACTTTCCTGTGCTTTCCGTATTAATTCCTTCACGTATAGTGCCCCACAATCCTTTGCAATAATAATAATTAACGTTTCAAAAACGTTGCATAGCCTCCTTTGACTTAGTGAAATATCAACTCTTGACCCTGACCATACAAAAAATAAACAGCTGAAGTGTTGACAAAATCGAAGCAAGCTATGACAGAAATTTAAAAATCTAGTTAATTTAGATAAGATTAGCCAGATCCCCTCTTCAAGTAAGTATACATTCGCAAAAAAAGCCGATCGAAACACTAATTATTTTCCGTTCAGTTTAGTTTTCGTATCGAACTTGAGCGTATCGAAGGTCGTCGCTAGGTCGCAGAAACACAGCTAAAAGGTGATGACCCCAAATACAACGCGCAATACAGTTCACTCACTTTTTTGATCGCATCTGACTCCACTTCTAACATGGCTCTGAACTTCTTGTGTTCTTATCACTACAGGATCTTATAATATTTATTTTATTGTTAATTTCTGTTGACAGGTAGCCGGCACCAACACTGCGCAAGCTCAAGATCAGCTATACCAGTGGCGTAATAGAAGTGTGGATTTCGGGATGTGTTCCAGTGCGTTACCTCATTTTGCCAAGGGCGAAGTTGTAAAAGGATTTGGGAGAGGTTCTAAGGAATTAGGATGCCCTACAGCTAATTTTTCTGAAGAAATAGTGGATAATCTGCCGCAAGAGTTGTCTACGGGTGTTTATTATGGCTTTGCCAATGTTGATAAAGGTCCTGTTTACAAAATGGTGATGAGTATAGGATGGAACCCGTTTTATAATAACACAAAAAAATCGATGGAAACTCATATTATCCACCCGTTTGATAGTGATTTTTATGGCAAAGAGCTTAGGATAGTGATTTTAGGTTATTTGAGAGACGAGAAAAATTTTAGTTCCTTGGACGAGTTGAAAAAAGCTATAAATGAAGATATAGAAAACTCAAAATTTTTTTTGGATAAGCCTGAATTTACTGGATACAAGTCTCATCCGTTTTTTACAGATTAGTAACGATCTCGTTGTTTTTGACCGTACTTATAGTAACGCCTACTTAAAAACATTTTTTACATTTTATGAAAATTATTTATTGCACTTAATTTTATTGTGACATTTGTATATGCTGCCTCGACAGAATGTACACCGAGATTTATATTGTTGCGAAAGACGTTTTTCGAATAGAATGTTGAGTTTTTATTTTTTTCGTTTTTATTCCCTAAAGGCCAAACTTTGTGAGAAAATTTGTTACTGAATTTAGTTCCCAATTTGTTCACAAATTACAATCGTTTCTGACAGGTAAAGAAATTTTTGTACTAAATTTTGTACGAAATCATGCGCAGTTGGTAGAAAAAACTATAACTGTCAACTTCTAACTAGCATTTATCACGTCAAAGTCATTCTAACCACACTTTGCGGTTGCTACTTTTTTATTCCTTTATTTCTGCTTTATTTTTAAACGAATAGAAAATGGAGCGAAACAGTAATTCGCATATATTATATGCAACTGCGGCAGCAGCGATCTGCGTTGTAGCTTCCCACCTCATGAGAAAACGAAACCGTAAAATAATTTGGTGCCGAAAATCGATCAGCGAGAGGGACCAGGGCATGTGAGTGCTCCATATGGGGTACGAAGAACTTCTGGTGCAGGATCACTGGCTTATAAGCGTAATTGGTTCTTGAGTCATTCTGATTTTATTCAAACCAACTTATTTGGATTTTCTGTTTATAGAAGTTTACAGTTATAGCTTTTTTTTCTACCAACTGCGCATGATTTAGTACAAAAATTTCTTTACGTGTCAGACAGGATTTGTATACAAACTGGGAACTAAATTCACTTTTCTAACAAAATTTGATACTAACTAATATAATAATTGCAGATATTGAAATTATAGCCAGGCCCCTAAAATAATAGTGATAAGGTTGGGCCTCTCATATAATACTCGAATACTGAATGTTCTAGCCAGCGGTTGTCCCACGAGTACACAGCGGCATCTATAATTTAATAAATTAATCAAGTTGACAGCTGACAGAGTTGTCAAGAACAACCACATTCACAAATTTTAAACAAACTAAACTTTCTAGTTGTAGTTACCCAAATAGTTTCTTTGTTTTTATTGCAACGATTAACGCAATAGAAAGTTTATGGAAAAAAATTGGTAAAACTTTCTATTCAAATTGTTGATTTCTGATAAAAATAACTGGTCTTTATTTCACATAAGTGTTTACCAAATATGGCATTAAAAATAAACCAAGAAACTTTCAATAATGTTGTCCGCGAGAATATTGAAGATCTTGGGATGACACCAGAAGAAGCTGTTAAAGGAGCTATAGAACAATTTGAATTACAGGTTTGTAATAAAAGAAAATATGATTACCAGTAAAATTGAATCATTCCAAATAGAAAGAATTTTACATCCATCCAAGGGATCAAACAGGTCTTGAGCATCCAGTATTTGCAATATTAAAATTCTTTAGAACATTCTTATTATTAAAAAAGTGTCAGTTGCACTTGGAGAAGCTCACCATTGGGGTCGAAACATTGTACAATAAATACAATTTTAAACAATGTTTATTGATAATAGAGCACTAACTTGTTAACTAAAAAATGTTCTTGTTATTTTGACACGTTGTCAACCGCCTTTTAATGCCAGGCCACTAACAGTTGTATTTTAGGGTGCAGATTTGAGCTTGATTATTAAAGACCTAATGATAGATCCACCAGATAATAATGTCCAGGAACTCCTCAATAAACTGGAGAGTCTCAACAAAGCAAAAGATGCTAAGAGAGAAGATGTTATAGAACAGTTAGATCTTATTAAAGCTGAGTGTGAAAAGGGCCTTCCATATAAAGTAGAAGCAGGTAGGCAGAATGTGTCATATCATTCAAGCAGCTACTTTTAAGGCATGATTTTTAAGATATATTCACATTGAAATTCAAATTTGTATCAATGTTTCCCAATATTCAATTCCTCGATGTAAGGCAGAACTAGTCTTATTAAGAAGAGGCAGATTTTAGTTTCATAGTATCCAACAATGTCCATTGTCCCAGTCATGTCAAATAAGATTGCACTAATTTTTTTATGTAGCCTCCAAACAGGCAATACTTTATTACAAAACTTGGATATAACTATGGCAAATACAGTCCAGTCATCATGGAAATGTTGTAGCATATGACCTGGTTATATATCTTGGATATATTCTCTATATATATCTCTACTATATCTTGGCAATATTTCTGTGTAGATACATACACTGATGGAAATTCTCATCAGAGGGGCTACAAAATCAGGCAAGAATGACTGATGACCTTACATGTGTTGCAACAGTTCACATTACCAGCATTACATTGAATTAAGTAGGATTCTGATTGTTAGTCAATTTGAGAGCAATATATAAAAATAGGTCTGAAATATCACATGTGTAGCAATAACCCCAGGCCATACTAAAAATATTGTTGTACTTGGCAGCTACTCTATTGCAGCTAGATAATGTAGTAAAAATATTGCACATTTAGAGGTTCAATTATAAAAAAATGAAAACACTACATTTTCCTTTGAAAAACTGTCCATTCTTGAACATGACATCAACCTTCTGAGGAAGTATCACCCCTCAACCTTCTTGAAACATTGATTAATGTCGACCACTTGGAGGTACCCAATGGAGGATAATCTGAAAGCTATAAGCAGATGGTACTAATTAGGCTGGGGATCATAACATCCATATTATGAACAGACAAACAAGCTGCTTTTTGGTGACCCAATTAAGTTAATTGGAGTATCTCAGTAATGCTCGGCACCAATATCATTCCACTGCACTTTATATTTCCATACAAACTTTCTAGAGAAGTTTGGGAGCATGCCACTCTCAAACCAAAACAACTGCAAAGCAGCTATGCCAATTTCAGTTCGGCTGTTCACATCAAAATTGGACATTGCTACCATTAAAATACGCATTAAAGAGGAGCCAAAAAGAGATTGGATGTCTTAGTGCCATCTGTGGGATAGTAGCAGAACCAAACACTTTATCTCTTTTCAAAGTAGATTTCTGAATTTCTTTTGGTATTATGCCTCATAGATGGAGCTAGGATCTTTAGCATCCTTTTTTAGGTGCCTGAATACTGTATATGGTTGGCCATCTTCAGGTAGAATATCAATCAATGCTTGTAAGATTAGAATGGAAAAAATAGATGGAGAAATCTGAATAGTTTATAAATATGATTTTGTTTTCTTTACTCTTATAAAATAAACATGTTTTAGGAAGACATGGTGCTTACGACATACTTCTGGACACCATGAAAGCACACAGTAGAGACAACAATGTTTTGACATCATGTTTGAGGGCACTGATAGCACTGATGTCAAAACAGCCGGATCTTTTTGATGAAAAGGGCATTGACGTTATTCATACTTACTTGAAAAAAGAAGTTGAGTATGATGTGAAAAGGCTGACTTTGAAATGGACCAGGGAGTGCTGTGTCATGCATGAAATGAATAGGTAATTGTAATTCTACTCTTGAAGAAATTATATACCTGTAAAACTTGTCTTTTATGACCAAGCTAGTTGAGCATGTATTTATAAATTTCTAAGAATCTTAAAAACACATGCTGGATTCATGCAAACCCTAACCAAAAACTTGAGAATCCATGAGGTGTGACCTACACAGACCTTATTGGTTCTGCCTTATGCAACACATACACAGGTCCCACCTTATTCATTCTATCTACTTTATATTTTGGTAACCAATATTTCAACTTTAACATATTCTACCTGAAGATAGCCAACCTAATACTATATTCCCGCATCCAAAAAATTATCCTAGATAAAATGAGATTGTAGTGTCATTTGTGAGAATTTGGCACAGCTGTTTCTCTATTTACTATATATACTTAGAAAAGGCTTGTGTCTTGTAGATGGACCTGTAGCCACCTACATATATGGTTGTAAAGTATTTTTCAAGAGTATCCATTATGTGATCCGTGACAGCTGATTGTCTAGTAATATTTAAAAATTCCCCAAATTGTCAAGTGACACACAATTCTGACAGATCTGTCAACGCTGGATCTGTGGACAAAGTATTTTGGTGTGGTCTTTTATAAGCTACGATTTCTTACTTCCTACGCTTTTATTTAGAACAGTTACCTTGCATTCAAGAAAAGATGATACATGCAAAATAGGTGCTAATGATCATGGCTATAATTCAAGTCAGGCAGGAATAAAATAATATACATAGTTTTTATGTTTTGACATGTTCTGAATACGGTCCTGAGTTTTACCCGATTTACACGTGATTCATTATTGCCAACACTAGACTTTGTCACTAAAAATGTCACTTGGTGATCAGCTGTTTACCTCATTAACGTCAAAACGTAATGGATACTCGTGAAAAATACTTTATATACTTTAAGGGACACTAACATTTTCAAAGTATGTATAAAAAATAGAGAAACAGGTGTGACAAATGCTCATAGGTGATGCTTCAGGTAGGATACGTTAATCAATGATTTTAGACAGCTGATTTTCAATTCAAAAATTGTGGATAACTTGAAAGAGCTGCTAGGTGAGGGAGCATCAGATATATTAAGAGAAGTGCTGAGTGTAAGTAGAGCACTTGTACTTGATGATGATGTTAGAGTTGAATTTGGAAAAGCTCATGAACATGCTAGAGTTATTGCCAGTGAAACACTTTGCGCTCTAACAGGACTATTAACAAGTAAGTGAAAAAAATCTAATTTAAAGGTATATATCAGTCAAACCAATAATATGTTTTACACAGTTCTCTTTGAAATAAGTTCTGTAAAGTATGTATCATTAAAAAAATACTTTTCTGGAACAGGGTTTTTTAATACTAGTGTCTAAAGTTCTTAAGTGTTCTTTAGAACTTATTGCATTCCATATTATATTGTGTATGACCTTATGTTTTAGGATTTAAGCATGATGAAACCCTTATGACTGATCTAATGCTTACTTTGTGTTCTCTAATGGTGAGAGCAGAATTTTGTAAGAAAGTTGATGATGCAGGAGGTCTTAACTTGCTTAGGGATGTATTAAAGGCATATCCAAATAGTGAGGTGAGATTTCTGATAAGATTTATTCTAGATTTTGACTAATCCTAGAGTTTTATTAATATCAGATAAAAAATACTACTGGACCTGAAATTAATTGAATATGAAGACAAAAACAATCTTTTGCAGAAAATTGCCAGACACAGTTTTAAGCTGATAAAAGCATTAGCTGGTAATGATGAGTGTAAAGCCCACATGATTGAAAAAGGCCTGGCACCAATTATAATCAATGTTATGGTGTCCAATAAGGTAAGATTCTTGGTATTTTATATATTTTGGTCATTGTTATCTAAACCAGTTAGGTGAGTAAAGTGTCAGCCTTTAATTGGGTTCTTCAACAAAAAATATATATATAACGTAAATCTTTAAGAACTTTAAATGTAACAACCTCAATTGAATGATTACAAGCCAGTGAACATAGATACTCTGAATTACCTATATTAACAAATTTCTAATATGGCAGAGTAGTGCATTGGATTTAACCCCCAAATATATATATATATATATATATAGGGTGTTAATAAAGTATGTAGACAAACTTTAACCATCGATTCCTTGGTCAATTTGAAGCCGAAATTTCCATATGCACATGGGTCCGCAACAGCTTCGTTTTCAAGCTAGAGCATATTAGCATCAAGCGTGGAGGACTTAAGAGTCAGAATTGTCGAGTCATGTCTGAACTATACAAAATACTCCGCCTATTTTCAGGAGAGTTCGTCAGTCAATGAGTAACAGAATAGAGGCCTGTATTGAAGTCAAAGGTGGCCACTTTGAACATTTATGTATAAGAAACTATTCGATATTTTCTATTGTTTCGTTCTATTTGAATGTTACTGTTCAAAACTATTGACCTAAATAAAAAACTTACTCGTATTTCTTTAGTGATAGTACTCTAAACTCCATCTAACCCCAAGATAGAGTGATGTAAAAACTGTCGTGTCACGCCTGAATTAGTCAGGGACATATTTAGGGGCGCCTTGCCGTGATTTAATGATTCCAACATCTTGTTGATTACAGATGATATTACTTAGTAAAACATGTTTCACAAGCAAAATCCAGCTAATAAAAAATTACTTGGTAGTGATAAATACTTGCTGATGTAACTGATGGCTGTTAGATTGCAACTCTTCTTATAGCATCTCTAGCAGGAAAACTGCCGGATTCGGCAGGCTAGCGGGGTGTTGAGGTTGATATAACGCGGTGATTATACGAAAACAATTATAAGGATAATAAATGAAAAAATTGAATCCAAACTTGCATAAATATACAGGGTGATGCATTTGAAATTTTTGAGAAAAACTACAATTTGCGTTTTTGACCACACTGTATGAGCAAAAATTAAAATTCGAAAAACAAACAAATAAGATAAAAGCTGAGGTGTGTAAGTTTTTTTGATACAAAATTCAGCATTCCAAATTTCAAAATGGGTTGCTGAAGTGGGGGTTTTTCTAGACAAAACATCTCAGTAGCTAATTACCAAAACCTATATCAATGTTCTTCTTTTGAATTGGTTTATACAAATATGCAATAAAATTTGAGGCATTCCATTTGAAAAATCACAACTTTGATATGTAGGTCGAAATTGGGACACCCTGTAGAATGGCCAATATTTTATAAATGTGCCCTCAAATGTCATGTTTAACATCCCATTAATAGATTTTCCCAAAATGAATTTGTTTATAAGTAATATTCCGTCAACACATGGATGGGCCACCCTATATATATATATATATATATATTATATATACATATATATGTATATAGGGTGTCCCAAAATTGAAGGATAATCCTGCAACTGTAAATACGTCACATCGTGGCCAACGTTAATTTTTTTTAAACTGGCTTGTATTCAGTCAATCCCGCGCCATTGATCAAATAACAACTTTTTTAAATCAGGTTTATTTCAAAGCACTCAGAATTTAGCATTTCATCACATACATTATACAGAGTATTTCTCCTTAAGGTGGTGAAAAACCCACACAAAAGTCATCCCAAAGTCTACATTTTTATTAAAACCCCTTCCTTACGTCTGACTTTGATATTCTGTAGGGTGAGAGGATCAAGTATGATCACTGTGCCAATTACCCAACTGTTGACAATTTTTAAATGGCATCGTTGATATTCGTTCTCTTCTGCTTTTTCGTTTTATTAGAGTTATAATGGAGGAGGCTCAGTTTTTGTAGATATCAGAAAATAACAATTTATGGCTTGGATACAAAAAATGGACAGGATTGATTTTGAAGGATAATTTACATTTAAGATATAAATGTAATGAGTACCATTGACTGTTATGCCGGAGCTACGTTTTGTCATAAAACATTTTTTTAACCTACAAAAAATAACCGCTCGAATGCTGGAGGATGGTTCAATTTTGGAACTCGATTCTGTTATTAAGATTTGCACAGCTTAGTATAAAATTCACTAAAGCAACCCCGATAAAAAATTAGTGGATTTGGGACCAACGATCTCCATAATGAGATAACGCAGCAGGATTCACGTTTATGAATGTTTCATGTTTGTAATTGAAGTAGTCTCGATCTGACCGAGTGAGATGTATCGGAGTATTATTGAGGATTACTATGTTGTAGCAGATCCTAATCAGAATATTTTTACGAACAGATGCGAGGATACTACCTGGACTAGACGTTTCATGCTTATTTTAAGAATATTTTTAATTATCTTGGGGTCAAACTAAAAAACTCAAATAAACGGTGGAAGAAACAGATTTGATACTTTGTTCCTGTGTTCTGTAATTTTGTATAGTCAGTAGTTGTTCAATGGCTTTTGCTATTTGTACTTTGAGTTTTATAGTTGTTTTCGTGTTGAGTTTTTATTAATTTTATTGTTTTTGCGCCTTGAGAGGTGTTTCATTATGCCCAGATACGAGTTTACGCTAAGCGAGAGATATATCATTTAATTTAAAAATTGCCATTAGTTAGCCAACTTTTTCGACTAAGTAGCACAGTGATCCTACTTGATCCTCTTCCTCTACAGTGGGTCAAAGTTAGACGTAAAAAGAGGTTTTAATAAAAATTTATAGTTTGACATAACTTTTATGTGGGTTTATCGCCACCTTAAAAAAATAATGCTGGACGAGATGAAGTGTTTAATTGAGTGAGAACACTGCACGTATTGGAACCTTTTAAGTTTACTAAAGAGTGAGGTTAAGATTCAGTACTGACGTTCGATCCGCGCGGCCTACTATGTTTCTATATGCAAAACTTAAAAGACGTAAGCGTAAGCATGGTTTTATCTGCGAGTTCAAGAATTACGGATAGGTAAATTATCACGAAAAATACGTTTTCTAAAGAAAAATGTTTAGGTCATAGTTATGAAATTTGAAAAGATTTATACGAGTATATTGGTGATCTTGAACGTGACCTTGACTATGACATTCCAGGTCATTCGAAGGTTAAGACAGTTTTCTTATATGAATCCCCTATTATTTATTACAACGGAAAAGTAAAGAGCAGGAAGTTTTACGTTAAAGTATGGCTTAGCTCATGACCTTGTGTATTTGAGGTTGTCCACAAAGTAGGGAAAGAGGAAAACGATCTCGAAAATACGTTTCATAAAGAAAAATGTTGACTAATAGAGTTGACTATGAACACTAAGGTTATTTGAAGATCAAATGCATTTTAAACAGGAAGCATTTTTTTTTAATTTCTGAAATGCAAATTGCGGATAATTTTAAGTTCAAATATATTGTTGCCAATGCACATGACCATGACCTTCTAGGTGATTTTAAGATCAGATACATTTTCAAGTAGACTCCTTACTTTTTGTTGGGGATATAAAAAAATAGAAACATTGAAATTAATTTATTTTTTGCATTAAAATGTTGGGTAAAAAATGTACATTGCCAAATAACTATTGCATTATTTTATTTCTTTCTCTATCTCCTTTACACTATGACAAACAGATGTCCTAGTCATTTATAGATAGATTGAGATTTTCTTATATTGATACCATTTTTGATTATAGTAAAATTTGCACATCAGCAATTCTGATGTGTTCTGATATTGCACTAGCATGATAAGTATTTTTTATTTTCAGGATAAGGTTCAAGCAGCTACCGCTGGTTTATCTGCAATAGCAGCTTTGAGTTTACGGGCTCCCAAAAATAGCACAGCACTTTTTGAAGCAGGAGCCCCAGCAGCTATTATTGAGATCATGAAATTGCATCCTGAGGAGAAATCAATACAGGTATTCATACAAATGAGTTGAATAAAATTGGCGTTTAAACGCGTTCTATTTATAACATACAAAAAAGTTCCACGCTAATAAGTTCAAGCTCTGGTAGTGCCCATTGTTTAGTTAGTAGTTAGATAAAAACCATTTTATTAAGACTTATGAAATTTGTACGATAATAAAATATAGAATCATGCTACACCATAATTATTATAACTATTTAATATTCAACATTCTCAAAGATGTTGAATAAAAATAAAATTGAGTGTTTTACTTCCCTCGCAAACTTGCGAGGAAGTAATGTAATCGCAAAAAATCTTTAATGAGATATTATGTTTTTGGATGTTATAAGACAATGTACATCATAAAAAATCATCAGTCTGTCTGTCTGTCGGTCTATCCACAAATCCTTGGCCCACATATAACTTTGAAAGTACTGCTCGGATTTGGATGAAATTTTCGAACAAGGTTACTACTATGACATTGAAGAAACAGCTTTGTAAATTTTGAAAATCGTTCCAGTGGGGGCGGAGCTAGGGTCAAAAAACGGAACAAAAATCGCTCAAACTTCGTTTTTTGATGTTTCAGAGACTCCTAATCATTTCGAAAAAATCATTGTAAGCGTTAACAATTGGGGGTTGTGGTTGTAGGGGGTGGGGAAGAGTACATATATCTAGAATTTCTTGTCGGTAGATTTCCTCGTATATTTACTCATAAAACTATCATCAAATGTATCAAGCCGACCTGTCGCGTCTAGGTCGCTTTCGCCGCACACTAAGAACTCACCCTGGCGCCCACAAAATCATGTCTGCGACTGCGGTCTAATCTCCCACTGCCATACTACTCGAGCTGGCCAGCACAGGACGGCTGACTCGATACTTTCTGTAAGCGCAGGAAAGAAGTTCCTAGATTGCAGCAGGCTATTTTTATGGTCTTAACTTGGTCCGTTTAGTGCTTTTTGTGTTATACATGTTCGTAGTTAACTTTTTTTCCTTATAGTAATGTAATGAAAACACCGTACTTGTTGATTAAAGTCTAATTTACTACTCTCACACTAATGCACATATCAACACTTGCAACTGCACCAGACGAATCTTCTCGATGGGCGGCATAATTCTGTTTGCCTAGGTCAATGTAAGAGGGTGTTTCATCGTTGCTCAGAGTTCCAGTTATAAGGGCGTTACAATAATAATATGGATTGATGACAGCGTTGCGTGGAAAGTGCAGTCTACCTACTTCATGCCATTTTATTAGGCGTTTAAATTTGTGCATTAACGTGAAACAGATAGTAAGACTACAGTTTTGTAATGGTGCTTTTTTGGAGTCAGGAATGACATAGACTTAGCTCTAGCTTCCATAATCTCTTTGTTTTATTCCATTTCAAATTCTATACCTCTAAAAAATACCTGATAATTTCGAGAGGATACCTCTTTTGGGAGTATGCGACAATGGGACTTGTGATACGTACTAGCGCAGTTTTTTATGTAAGATCCATTTTGTAATGGAGTCAGCGAAACTTTATGAACCTCACTTGTAACCCAAATTAAAATATGAATATAAAATAGTCATCATGAACATTTAAGCATTTGTCAATTTGTGGCACCAGCTTTTGGATCCCTTCGTCAAAGAACGCTGCCGCCCTACCGTTAAACCAGTTAGTAACTCTTTCTTTCAACATGTCATCATTTTTCAAGCGCTTTCCACCAAGAGATTCATCAAGTTTTGAAAAGTCGGATCGTACTAAGTCAGGGCTGTATTGTGGATGATCCAGTAATTCCCAACGAAACTTGTCCAGTTGCGTCTGTGTTTATACCGTATTAGAGTGCAGGCCCCGCCGGCAGTTTTAAATAGCGCACCTAAGCTCCAATAATGTTCCACAGCACCTCTCAGCAGGGCGAACTTTTCTGAATTTAAAAACCGAATTACTGAGAGCAATTCACAATCGACGTGTTTACTAGGTGACATGGCGACGTACAAAGCAGTATAACACCGCCATAGACGCTAAACGTAATGACGGCTTAGTGAAAGACTGGCTAAGAGTATCTGAGGTTGAACGGACGTCACGTAACAGGATGTGCGGGCACGATGCGTAATCGGTACTTACTTTAAAAATGGTCATCGTACTTTTGCTAACCTGTTTGAAATAGCGACCACTTTGACTTGATATTTTTTCTCTTTTTTTAGAAAAGTGGCAGTTGGGCAATCAGAAACATGGTATCCCGCTGCAGGGACCAAAGCTCCACATTCCTAGAACTTGGGGCTGAGGAAATCCTCCATGCTGGTTTGAAGAAATATAAGGACATTGAATATGACTTGAAAGCTGCTTTGAGAGACTTGGGCTGCAAGGTCCAGTTAAAGGAAGAATGGACTGGAAAAGGAGGCGCATTAACTACAGGAAAAAAGCCTTAAATAACTTTATGAATTGCATTTTTTTATTAGGATTTCCAATTACTTATTTTTACCACAATTTTCCACGTTTCTATCACTGTATCACCACTGCTGAGAATTCTAGAAATACTTGAGCTATTAACGTTATTTATGCTAGACTGTTAAAATATATTTTTTAATAATAACGTCTCACAAATTTACTAAATTCATGGTGAATGCAGCCGTAATTTTTTGTAAGCTCTGACTGATCTAGAATCTATATATAGGGGCAAATATATATTTTACACTGTACAAGTATATTCATAATAATATACATTTTGTTATACTTTTATAAAATATAATTCATGCTTTTACACAATACTTGCCTATTAATTTACTTTCTATTCGCAAATTAGAAGGTGGGTCGGAATTCGCGCAACATTTAAATCATATTGAGTTGCGTTTATATGTAATTTGAAAGTCTGCATATCTGCTAAGATGGGTCATTGATTAACATATTCTACCTGATGATAGCTAACCTAATTGAGGGTTGTATGGAAGAGCAACGATGTTGAATGAGCCTCCCTCATCAAATGAGTTCGTTTTTTTACTAATAATCTAAAAATAAAGACATAATTCTTATTAATGCTATATTCGCGCGTGAATTGAATTATCCGAGCTGAAATACGATACCGCATCTATGATAATTTGTCACAGCTGTTTCTCTATATACTTTGGTAAGATTAGCGTATCATAGATGCGGTGTCTTTATGGGCATATACAAGCATATAGGTGGCTACAGCACAACACATATATCTAAGCCTTAAGATAACCGGGATATTAAGTTCCAAAGAACTAAATAAGTCATTCCGACCCTGCCTTCCTACGTCAAAATATACATTTTATGGTATTATAACCATGTGAGTCAATATCCAAGCGCCGCATGGTGTGTAGGTTAACCTAGTCTATAAACAAACTGCATTTGAAAACCGAAATGGCACATTTCTGCAGCAATAATGTAGTTATCTATTTTATGTTAAATTACTATGAGCGTCTTCAAGATCATATTGATACTCCGCGAGTTTATTCGAGTGGAGAACGCCGCCCTCGTCCTCGATATTTCCATCGAGGCTGTGTAGGTTTGTTTATAACGTGCAAAAGCCGCCTGGATGGGCACAGTTGAAGACCTAGACAGCCCCAAATGGCATATTTAGGAAGAAGTAAGCAAACTCGTGTTTTGAATTGAGCAGCGTCAACTTCAAGCAGTAACCACAAACAAAACATGTGACACAGCAGTACTTGAAGTACCGTACCAAATAGATGGTTACTATTTTTCTTCAATTTCTTTTTACGTATTCAGCGCTGTTTTACCGCAAACTGACTTTCTTATTTCAAATGTAGTTGTTTTTGGAAAGTCTCAACTTTCAGGACAACGTATATAGTAAATAGAGAAACAGTTGAGGCAAATTCTCATAGATAACGCGACATTACCTCATCTTATCTCGAATTTTTTGAACGCGAATATAGCATCAGGTTGGCTATCTTCAGTTAGAATACGTTAATCAATGGCTAACGTAAATTCTGACGACTGATTTTTATACTTAAAATATTATTACAAACTCATATGCATCACTGCCAGGTGTGAGAGTAATATAAAGCTTTTCGTAGAATGTTCTGTCCGGTGCCCACTTGGCTGAGTGTCAAACATTTTTACATGATCTTGAGTGTTGTTTATTTTATTTCTTTGTTTGATGTTGTTTGACTGTCTGGTAGCAAAATGTATTGGTTTTCCGTAATGCCAACTCGAGATAAGGCAAAACATATAGCTGCCCACCAGAGACAATGTTCGACTCTAGAACTTATTTATTGTGAGAGCAAATTTAACTTTGGAATGGATGATCGCACGATTATATTGGCCCGCCACTCTTTTATCAATAGCATTCGATGAGGGCGTCTGCCATTTTGACGCCGAATTTACAAGGTGAGTGGCCGACTAGGAGTGACCAGCAACCGAAACCTCTCGATTTCTTAGCAAATATTCTTATTCCACTCTAAAATCCGTCGGCTGTCTGTTTATCAGTTACCGAAATTATCCACGTTGGATCAGAGGAATATATCTCTCATACAGTGAAAGTGCCTAATCCAGGGTCCAACGGCTGGTTTAACAAATCGTGCGACACTGCTCGACAGCAGTAGATCAAGGCACACGGAACCTTCTTGCAAAACCCTGTAGAGGAACAGACAAGCCGACGTCGAGTCCAGAAACAAATATAACGAAGCGGTCCGCAATGCCGAAGGCCAGCACGATGCAAAAAAATAGGCATTGGGTAATGTCGCTGCGCAACGGTAGTCGGTCTCCCTGGACGCTGGACAAGCAGATGGAAAGAAACTTCTCGCACTTACGTGCCAGGATGGAACAATTGTAACTGACTCAAAGGCTAAGACGGAAGTGCTTTCCAAGATCTTTGCTGCCAACTCCACCATGAATGTTCCCCCTTCAACGCCGAGTACCATCGATTCCAAGGATTTCCTAAAAGATGCGGGAAGTGACATTTAGGTATACTCGTAAGACCGTGAAGCGGGTCCTCTCATCGCTCAACATCAACAAAGCTTCTGGTCTGGAGTTGATTCCTGCCGTTTTGTGGAAGAGATGTGCATCGAAGCTTGCTCCAGTTCTTTCACGTCTCTTTAGATAATAAATAAATAAATAACAATAATTTATTTCATTGTTGAATAGAACAGAAAATTCTATAACAAATGACAAGGTCATAAAAATAGTGGTGACGAGTTGAAAAAGTATATAAATATAGATCTAAACAAAACACTCCTCCAAGGTGTAGAAACATTTGACTATCAAAAAAAGTTTTAGTTTTCTTTTGAAAACAGCTATATTTGATTCATTCCTCATATAATCATCATTGAGCTTATTAAAAATCTTACATTCCACATATATCTAGTTGTTTTTTGGGATGCCGTAGTTCGATGTCTCGGCGGGATTAAAAGCAACTTAGACCTAGTTGGATATTCATGCTGGTGTTTGATGACTTCAAATTCGCGCTTATTTTTGAAAACAAACGTAGCCAACTCATAAATGTAAATACCTATTACAGTCAACATCTTTAGTGTTCTAAAAGATTCTCTACAGGATTGTCGCCATTAGCGCCAACCAAGGTTATCGATAATTCTAATGGCATGTTTTTGCAGCAGGAGAACTCTTACAGTTAGTGAACTACGTCCCCAATTGAGAATACCATAACGGATATGGCAGTTGACAGTGGCATAGTATAAAGTTTTTAAAATTCGTTTATTGCACTGCTTTGCTAAGAATTTTAAGCCAGAACAACTCCTTCGCAATCTATTACACAAATACTCAACGTGGAACCCCTACGACATTCGACAATCAAGTATTATCCCCAGCATGTTAACTGAATTAGATGATGGAATAGCTCTGTTAGTATGATCAAAAATGTTGAAATCTTGTTCATCTTTCAATGCGAATTTTACAATGCGGGTCTTCTCTGTGTTTACTCGGAGGAAGTTATTTTCCGACCATTTAACGATTCTGTTGTATGTTCTCTCAGTCATTTCCGGCAGCTCGGTGATGTTTGGACTGGTAACCAAGATATTGGTGTCATCTGCATATGCCACAACCTTATATTCTGGACCACCTTCAGATTTAAAGTCGGACAAATCGTTAGCATACAACAGAAACAAAAATGGTCCTAGAATTGAACCCATATCTAGCACTCTAGATGCAGGAATTCAGAGTAACAAGCCGATCTCTGCCGGTGAGCTGGAGAAAAGAAGACTAGCAGCGACTTCCTCTCAGGCGATGCAGCAATCTGGTACAGTTGATTGCTTCCAAAACACAGCACTGTACCTTGAATAAGAAGTGCCGTAGGACTCACCCAGTTTGGATGGATGGTCGAGTTCTATCAAACAGCCGTTCATTTGGGCTAACCGGAATCCAGATTACCGGACTCGAGCTGGCTGAACACATCTCGTCAATAGCAGCAGGTGCAGCGAAAAAGCTATGCTATTTGTTTATATCTAAGAAGTACTTTTCTCTACATGACCTCCTCACTTTGTACAAGGCCCAGATAAGACCTAGCCTCTGCTCACATGTTTGGTGTACTGTCGACCCTGTCTGCAGTATCCATGCTCGATGTTGTTCAGAGGAGGACTGTCCGACTAATCGAGGACTCTCCCCTAACGAACAGTCTCATGACCCTTACGCACCAAAGGGCCGCCTACGATCTGGCTGTCTTCTACAGCTCAATGGGCTTTGCTGATCAGATGTTGGCGTGCGATGATAGATAGATAGACATTGTTTATTCAATTTATTGATCATTGAAAAGTGACATTGAATACGTCAAAAAAAACTTATACATGCAACACATATCAGTAGAAGAAAAAATAAAAATTACTTCACTGAAACATAAATTGTTCTTAGAGTCCAATAAAAACAACTACACTATCCATACAGACAGACCACGACCTAGGAAACACATTGTAAAAAGCACATATTTGTAAAAAATAACAAAATACAACGAATTAAAAAGTTAGCAGTTAAAATTGTTGAAAATCAGTTAAAATGAAATAAAATACAACTGACGGCTAACTTCCGTGTGCATTTAAGAGAGTATATTGTCATCGTTAAGATATTCATTGAGGGAATATATAGTTTGCTTTTCGGAGTAGTGGACTTTGATATTTTTCTTAAATATACCTATGATAAACTTCTTAGACTCTGTAACAGTCTATTAAATAGTATTTTTCCCATATGCTTGGGGCTTTTCTCTGTAGAGGACAACCTGTGAGTCGGTATCATTAAAACTGACGGATTTCTGGTATTATAAACATTACGGTCGTGACTCCTGGATCTTACTCCGTATCTCACTCCAGCTATCGAACTCAATACTCGCTTCTGCATTACAAGCACTGTCCGACTCATCACAAGTACCCCAAGCAATTATACCATAGGATACAATCGAATGGAAGTAAGCAAAGTAGTAAGTCGTGACAGTTGCTTTACCAGTCACAAATCTGAAGCCACTGATGCAGTAGAACAACGGAGGATAAGTTTTTTGCATTCATTGTCTATGTACACGTGCCACTTGTAGTTTTCGGATAAATAGTCTCCTAAAAACGTCTCTGTTTACTTGCTCAATGAAGCAGTCTAATGACCTGACGAGGGGACTATGATCAAATGTCTTATTAGAGTGTGTAAACCTGAGGCAACTAGACTTTTTCTCATCAAGCACTGATCCATTGTCTATTGGCCATTATTGTACTCTCCTCAGTCCTGACGTAGCGGCGTTTACCAGAGCTGGAATATTTTTAGCATTCATTAGTATTGAAGCGTCATCTGCATTCCTGACATATTGGTTGCATTCAAAGCCATTAAAAAAATTAGGTACAGTAATGGTCGAAGTATGGAGCCATGTGGAACGCCGTTTTTGCAATCTGTTGTCTCAGATCTACTAGCACTGAGCTGAACTTTCTGTTCTGTTTTGCATGTAGATCATAAACTATTTAAGCAGAAGTCCCCTAACACCATAGTTATCTAATTTAGCCAGTAAGTGTTTACGGTTAACCAGATCAAATGCTTTGGATAGATCTATCAAAATACCTAATGTTCTATTACCAGAGTCTAAGTCGTCAAGAAGCATTTCAATAAAATGTGCTATAGCCACGGTTGTACTTAGACCTGCCAGACAGACCCGCCTGATTTTAGCCTCCCATTCTAACCTTGTCGAACTTCATACATCCAGTTCTAGCCGGTTGCTGGTTTTTTGACACTAGGGTATAATAATAATAATAATAAATGGCCTTTATTCGTCACAGGATTACAAAATAATTGGTTTAAAAGGAACAGTGACGAAAAGGTGGAGTGTCAGCTTATGCTGTTTTTCAATCCGACCTGGAAAACATTGACACTAGGGTATCGAGATTGTTTTACGATCTACCTGAGGAGGCAGTTCTATTAACCTTAGGCGGTTTAAAAATTAACAGTGTCTTTAAGCTCCTCGTAGTAGCCACAGTGCCTTGGTATTTAGGCTTCTGTCGTCGCGGTTGCTTCGGTATGAATTAAAAGACATTTCCTAGTTGTGTACTTTCTTGTACGATGATCAGAATTGACCATCTAAATCATGGGGTTGAAATATCACTGAGTTTCTTCTTATTGCGCCATTTGAAGTTAAAGGTCAGACTTGTGAGACTTCATCTGCTACTCATTCCAACATAATCACTACTTTAAACCAAGAACTGGCAGGCATGATCGCTGCTTCGTCCTTAAGTATCGAGAACGTGCAGCATCTTTGTCCATATTTGGATAGAATGAAGTATACACTCTCGCCTATTTTGAAACTAACAATCAAGTTACAAAATGCTAAAATATCCCTGTCAGTCATATTTCACCGTCATTGAAATTCAAAAAATGTTATCATCCTCATAATCATACGACCCCATTTTTTAAACTTAAGTGCATTTCTTAAAGTTCTGGTAATACACAAGACATGCCGCGAAAACAACTTGGTGAGTAGACTGTTATATCCCGTATATGTGTTGTGAATTATGTATTGACAATTTCTATTGAATGAAAAAAGTGAATACTATTGCTTTCCCTTGTAGGTTTGGGTTAATTATAGGAAATAAAAGTACCATAATTGCGTATATGTTCTAATATACAAAGATAACCAAAGATTTACTCGTCAGTGTTTATTTAAGACAAGTGAAAGGCTCACGATGAAGATTGATACTGTTTGAGACACAGAAACGAACGAGATGCAGAAAGTATTTTTCGATATGGGCATTAACCTATCAACCCGAAAGTGATGTAGCCCACTTTAAATAATTTTTCTATCTACAAGATAATTCAACTATTAAGATTTTCTAAGCTCTTTAATCCAAAAACAGCTTTTGCCTACGCCTTGAAATGATCAAACAATTCAAAGGCACTGAAGAATAGAGTCTAGTTTTCTGAACATTAATCCGTTAAAGCCCAATTTTACTATTCGTCGGCGGGAATCAAAGTTTGTGCCTTGGGCGTAAATTGGTCCAATAAGAAAGCATCTTTGAAGTAGTGGATCTAATGAATTTGTTCCATTTCTTGTAAAATATCCCTGAAACTAGAAAAGAATCATACGATTTGTGTAAGGTGGGCTCCTAATTCTCTTATTAAATTAAGAAATAGTTCATATATCACATCATTCAGCTACATAACGTACTTTTCATTTATGTCAGGATCAAATATGATAAAGTAGATCACATGATGCCATTTTACTGAACATTTCATCGAAAAAATCAGTGCTTCATAATTGCTGTATAAATTCTGCTTAATAAATTTTTCAAAGACTTAAATAAAATTATAGAATGTTTATTCTTTAACAAGCATATAGTAAATAATCAATTTACGTACAGTTAATAGGAAAATGTCGCGCACTCTACTGGCAAGGCTAGAAGTAGTTGTCCTACGGCCCAGAGGGCGCGAGAGCTTCTTGTTAACAGAACTGGATAAAGGAACAGGTTTTTTTCGCACGGTAGTCAAATAAATTGCATATTTCCTCGATGTTTGTTAAAGAATAAGCATTCTGTAATTTTATGTATGCCCTCAAAGAATGTATCAAGCAGAATCTTGTACAGCAACAGTGAAACACAGTTATTTTCAATAAAATCCAAATCTAATTGCCATCTTCTCAATCTTGTAATTATTTCAGATTTGTGTACATACTTCGAGTGTGGCGCAAATGTTAATTTTTGATTGGTGCATTATATGACTATGACCGCTAATTTAGTGTCCGGACTCCGGACGCAAATAAAAAAATAAGCGTTTTAGATAAGCCCAAGGGAGGATTGAGGAATCTGTTTAGGCAGGGGCCCAGTGTAGTGGTCGCAGTATGTTTAGGAAGATTCTCGTCTCAAGAGGGTGTCAGCGGCAATTAAATAAATTAGGGAAGGAGGGGGAGGGGGCGCGACTGCATGCTTAGCACTTAAGCACCGCCTCTGAGAGCAAGTGCCCTTGTAACAAAATTCAAGAGCGAAGGTGGGATAGATCTAGGAGGGGGCACGTCCACGATTCAGGCCTAGCAAGGTAATTTTACACCACGATACAATATACACGGAAATTCAAATATCACTGACGAGGTGATATTTTCGAGAGAAAAGCGTGCAATATGTATGTTAGAAAGTGTGCGCTGACGGCAACGCGGCAAGCTGCAGCTTCGTTCGTGGTCTCGTCACCCGGGTTGCTAGGGAACGCGAGGTGTTTCTATCTTTCTAACTTGGTCAAACCAAGTGATTTATGACGTCTTTCTTGATTTAATATGGGAATTAGGGGTCCACGTTACACAAACCGTATAATTTTTCTCTAGTTTGAGTCATTTTACAAGAAATCGACCATATTCACCAGATCCATTACTTCAAAGACGCCTACTCATTGATTAAATTTCTGACTCACGAGCTTTTTTGCGCCCCGGCTTAGCCAAATCAGCCCTTGAAAACCTTTTGATACACAAAAAATGTCGGCGGTTAAAAATCCCTTCTACCCCTACTGAGCGGGCAGTGGAAAATGCTTGTTCCGGAAGTTGTTGTACTCATTATACAACTTCTTCCAGTTCAAGTGTTTGTACACGCATTGTCGACTAGGACCAGCCGAACAAGGCTGTACCACACGCTAGCTTTTTCCAGAGTGTCTTAAGAATATTCGCATGTTGCCACCCCTAAGCTACGCAGCCGGTCATCTTCCTTTTCACTCCACTCTTCGAGTAGTAAGAATTCCACACTTAAATTTATTCCATCCTCGGAATGTCTGGGTGGAGGGTGAACTTGAGAGATAATAACATCAATGATAAAACCTGTTTGCAGCATTGATGCTATTTACCGCTATCTGCAGTCTAGTCGTCGCGCCATACTTTTCTTGGCGGAGACTAAAATCTCCGTTGCACACCGATTAATCATCTTAGCTTCCCAAATTACGAGATACACTCCAATCTAAGGGAGAACGGGGAAGTTGTGTCTTTTGTCAGCAAGTCTTTTCTGCTCCAGAGACGTTTCATGGAATCAGGCCGGAAAGAGATTCTGTCGCTTAGCCATAACTGGTTTAACCTACTTGAATACCTCGCTGTCAAGATCGACTTCCTGAACATCAAGTACTCTGCCTCAGAGGTAGTTCACCTCCGTGATTGCAATGGCAATGATTGGCTCTGGTTGGTGTCGAACAAGATCGATGCAGCATGTTGTGCTGTTGTAGCGTTCTTAATTACCCAAGACTGACCCAGCTGGTGACGAAGCCTACTTTTTTCTTGCTCTTGATGTCACGAAAGCATTCGTTCAGCAGTGGTATGCTGACTTCTCATGCCAACTTCCATCCTCCCAGAGAGGTTTTGTAGATGATGGCTGACTTTCTTTCTTGCCGCAAGATATCCGTCGTAATTGACGGATTCTCCTATTCAGCCCACAACGTCAACGCATGAGTCCCCAGGGATCGGTCTGGGCTCCAATATTGTTCCTCTTACTGATCAACGACCTCCTTTACTGTACGGTCAATAAAATCCACAACTTTCACACGACGTTGGCGATCTAGCTCTCTTCTACCGCTACGCCAACGGGTTTTGCTCAGTAGAGCTCTCCTCCATGATGCCGCCAAGCGACGTGCCTGCGAGATAGATTCGCCTGACTTCATCCTCCAATCCTTACCGTGTCGAATTTCGTGCATCCAGACTGCGACTGCTTCGGTGTAAAAAAATAACAATAAATATAACTTTGGAATGTTGATGTTTCTCTGGCGGCAAAATAAAACCGCATATTTTAGATTGAATGTTTACTAACGTTTCGGCCACCTAGATGTACCTATTCAAATGGTAAAATGTTTCCACGCTTTTAACTTCCCACACCAACTAGCGAGGATGTGCTGCAATCGCGAAAATGTTAAAAATTGAGTAATTTGTTTATTTACGTCGGCATGTTTGTCTGTCCGCGAATCCTTGGCCCCACTATAACTTGGAAAGTTATTGCGACTATGCCAAGGACGGAAAGGCTTTGTAGTTTTTAAAAATCAATCCATTGGAGGCGGAGCTACAGGCAAAATAAAAAAATCGCTCAAACTTCAAGTTTTGACGTTTGGCTCCAACTCATTTTTAGAAAATGTAGTTCAAAATTGGGGGTTATCATGAAAATAATATTCCAAAAAAGTCCAAAAGTATCCATTTTATATCCATGAAATAATTTTCTATTATATTTTAGGTCCCGGTCCGGGAAAGTACTTACTACCCCCCGTAGTGGGGTACAGGGACCATGACGCGTCAAGGTACAGGAACCCCCAATATTCCATTGGGATGAAACTACCTTTTGGAAGAAAAGATTTCGGGCCAGGTCCAAGATACGATATTCAGTGGATGACACGTTATGGCAAAGCAAGCCCTCCAGCGTATTCTATGAAATCTAGACCAAGACCTTTCAGTAAGTATACAGAGTGTCATAAAATGTTGTCAAGAAAATTTAACAACAAATTCGGTACGTAAAAAATAATTGATAAGTTTATCTAGGGATGCGTCCGGAAATTCCCAGTCTCCATATAATATGAGCTATCTAAATTTTATGTTTAGTGAAAGATTATACGCCACTAGTTTCTGCAAGTACATATAAGTGTCGTTTTCTCAAAGTGAAATTGATTCTGTTTGAAAAGAGTCTCTTGGATTTTTTTGTTACGTTCTTTGAAAAAGTTCCATCTCCACTACTATTTTTTAATGACGACAAGCAGGTACTTATTGGTATATACGAGCCCCTTCCCACTTCAGTTGGCCCACTTCAAGATTTGTACCAAAATATGCCTTTATAAACTAAACAAGTCGAAACTATTTACTTCTAAAACAATTTATTTTCTCAAAAACATTTTAGATACACTCTAGTCGTAAAAATACATATTTGAAATCACTTAGACCTATAACTAATAGAACATCCGAACAAATAAGCAATGTGCGAATAAATGCGCGAAGTTAACAAAGCAGCAATTGAAAGATTACCATTGGGTAACATCACCTTTATTTTTTATTACGGCTGAAATTCTTTGGAGCATAGTGTTAACCAAGTTTTGGCAAACATTTGGTGTAAAATAATCCCATATTTCTTGAAGCTTATGTCTCAGTTCGGTGATTGTACGAGCAGGATGTTGTCGTAGAACCTTTTTCATCTCGTGCCACAAAGTTTCATTAGGTGACAGATCTGGACTGCTAGAGACCCATTTCAAAAGTGGTACATTATTTTCTTCCATCCATTTTATAGCCTTTTTTGAGGTATGGCACGCTGCACCATCTTGCCCCTTTTCCCAGTTCCGAGCTAGCAGCCGTCGCGAGTATACACTTGTGCGACTGCGACCCACCCGGACTTGCAGTGCGATCTTATTGTGATTTTCATCACGATACGATCGCCATCCACGATGGCGAGAATAGAAAAACTGACGAGCCAGCTGAAGCAGAAGGAGGATAACTTCGCAATGCTTGCTGAGCAGATGAAAAATCTGCAAGAAGCATTCAAGCAGGCGAGGCAAGAGATAGAGGAAGTGTGGGGGAAGCTCCTCAAAGCGAAGAGGAAGGCGAAGAAGACGGTAGAAGAAGAAGAAGAAGGTGAGGACCAGGGAGACGAGGACCAGCAGCCTACGGAAAACAGGGACATGGATGCCCAAGAAATCGAAGTAGAAGCCGAGAAGAGGACCGATGACGCAGACTTCAGTGTCGTCACCAGGAGGAGAAAATGAGTCCTCCGAAGAAGAAGAACCATCCAGGCAGCCAAAAATGCCAGCTGCCACCAAGAAGAGAGGTCCTAGAGCAACCAGGACCACCGAGGCCCCCATGGCAGGAACAGGAGTTCCGCCAATCAATATCGAGGGCACCGCTGACTGGTCATCCTTCAGCAGGATGATGAACAACAAGGGGATCCAATTCTCCAAGGCGAGGACGGCGGGTAACAGTGTGAAGGTGTTCACAAATACACCAGCTGACTACCGTCAGCTAGTCGCACTGCTGGACTCCATCAAGCGGCCCTTCTTCACCTATCAACTGAAGGACAGGATGGACCAGAGGGTCATTCGTGGACTACCCAGGGAGATGTCAATCGATGACGTCAAAGAGGGTCTAGTGAGCCAAGGCATCGCAGACGCTGAGGTTACATCACCTTTATTTTTTATTACGGCTGAAATTCTTTGGAGCATAGTGTTAACCAAGTTTTGGCAAACATTTGGTGTAAAATAATCCCATATTTCTTGAAGCTTATGTCTCAGTTCGGTGATTGTACGAGCAGGATGTTGTCGTAGAACCTTTTTCATCTCGTGCCACAAAGTTTCAATAGGTGACAGATCTGGACTGCTAGAGACCCATTTCAAAAGTGGTACATTATTTTCTTCCATCCATTTTATAGCCTTTTTTGAGGTATGGCACGCTGCACCATCTTGCCCCTTTTCCCAGTTCCGAGCTAGCAGCCGTCGCGAGTATACACTTGTGCGACTGCGACCCACCCGGACTTGCAGTGCGATCTTATTGTGATTTTCATCACGATACGATCGCCACCCACGATGGCGAGAATAGAAAAACTGACGAGCCAGCTGAAGCAGAAGGAGGATAACTTCGCAATGCTTGCTGAGCAGATGAAAAATCTGCAAGAAGCATTCAAGCAGGCGAGGCAAGAGATAGAGGAAGTGTGGGGGAAGCTCCTCAAAGCGAAGAGGAAGGCGAAGAAGACGGTAGAAGAAGAAGAAGAAGGTGAGGACCAGGGAGACGAGGACCAGCAGCCTACGGAAAACAGGGACATGGATGCCCAAGAAATCGAAGTAGAAGCCGAGAAGAGGACCGATGACGCAGACTTCAGTGTCGTCACCAGGAGGAGAAAATGAGTCCTCCGAAGAAGAAGAACCATCCAGGCAGCCAAAAATGCCAGCTGCCACCAAGAAGAGAGGTCCTAGAGCAACCAGGACCACCGAGGCCCCCATGGCAGGAACAGGAGTTCCGCCAATCAATATCGAGGGCACCGCTGACTGGTCATCCTTAAGCAGGATGATGAACAACAAGGGGATCCAATTCTCCAAGGCGAGGACGGCGGGTAACAGTGTGAAGGTGTTCACAAATACACCAGCTGACTACCGTCAGCTAGTCGCACTGCTGGACTCCATCAAGCGGCCCTTCTTCACCTATCAACTGAAGGACTGAAGGACAGGATGGACCAGAGGGTCATTCGTGGACTACCCAGGGAGATGTCAATCGATGACGTCAAAGAGGGTCTAGTGAGCCAAGGCATCGCAGACGCTGAGGTTCAGCAGATGACCTCAAGGACCACCAAGAAGCCACTTCCGCTCTTCCTCGTCAAGACGAAGATGCCGGAAAAGCTTCTAGAGATCCAGAGGCTGGCCATGCTCACGGTCAGCTTCGAGAGGAAGAAAAAGTCCACCGAGCCCAGCCAATGTTCCTGCTGCCAGAGGTATGGGCACACACAGCGGAACTGCCGTCTCGCTGAACGGTGCGTTAAGTGTGGAGAGGACCACATCAGCACCAGCTGCAGTCTGCCAGCGCCGCGAACAGGGCAACGAAACGCCAAGTGTTGCCTATGTAGAGAAGGCCACCCCGCCAACTACAAGGGATGTAGTAAGGCCCCGAGGAAAGCTGCTTCTGCCCCCAAAGCAGTCCCCACCACAAATAGGACCTCTTACGCTCAAAAAGTGAAGAAACCTATGTCCACTTCTGCCCCAGCAGCCGCCACTGCTACTGGAACTACTGCGCAGAAGCAACACGGCGATGACAGACTGCTAGCAATGATGCAAGCCATCATAACCCGCCTGGATACACTCGAGGCCAAGATGCAAGACAAGCACTAGACCCGAAATGACTACAGGGCAAAACGTAGAATCTCTACGCATTATATCCTGGAACATCAACGGATTCAGGGCACGGAAACCAGAAATCCAGGAGATACTAGACCAGTACCAACCAGAGGTGATGGCCATCCAAGAAACGAAATTGGATGCTGCCCATAGTTTGACGTTCCCGCGGTACGAGACGTACCGCTACGACAGAAGAGGCAGAGGTGGAGGAGTCGCATTACTCGTCAAACGTACCTTGACGAGTCATGTCCTCGACGATGCCGCAGACATCAATGGGGACGGAATCACGGTCCAGGTCCATCACAACCACCGTCCCTACAGAATCACCTCCCTATATGTGCCACCAGGGGAGGCCCTAGACGAAGATGACATCGCTGACCCCCTGAGACGCCCAGGAGCACGCATAGTCATCGGAGATCTAAACTGCAAGTCACCGGCATGGAACAACAACGTCGAAGACAGGAATGCAAGGCAGCTCCAGGAACACGTCGATGCCCTGGCGGGGGTCATCGTCGGTCCGGAGCAACCAACCTACACTCCATTCGGCCTTGGGCGACCTGCGGTACTGGACATAGCCATCCTCCGCAACATCAGAGAGGAGTTCGAGATAGAGACCCTGGTGGAAGGATCGTCGGACCACAATCCGATTCTACTAACACTTGGCACAGGGTCTAGAACTTGAGATAGCTTGAGCACCAAACGGACGAACTGGAATCTGTACAAATCCAACGTCCAAAGGAACATCACTCAAATTCCAACCATCCGATCAGCGGAGGAACTGGACAACGCAGTAGAGGAGCTGGAGAATGCTGTCCTGCGAGCGCACGAGGACAGCACCCGCTCCGAGACTACGGCAGTTCCTAGACACCTAAATGGTCCAGCACCGCACCATATTAGGCAACTGATCAGGGAGAATAGAAGACTCAAGCAAGAACATCTCCAGCTGTTGACAGAGGAGTCGAGAGTTGCGCGAAACAGAGCATCGCTAGCTCTGAAGAACGCACTCGCGGAACTCCAAAACAGCAGATGGAATGCAGCCTGTGCAGAACTAGAGACCCAGGATGGTACGGCCTGGACTGTGCAGCGAAAATTTCGTCGTCAGCGCACCACGATCCCCACTGTTCATGGCCAACGCGGCTTGGCCTACTCCAGTGGAGAAAAAGCCGAAGCATTCACCGATTCGTTAGAATCCGAATGCAGACTCAATTACCATGAAGACGAGGACGACAACCACGAGGAGGCCGTGGAAGTCGCAGCCGAAATCATGAGGAGTTGACCACCTGGTCAGGAGACGGATCACCCCTCCAGTCCAGAGGAAATCCGTCTGATCATCCGCAGGTTGAAGGTCAGAAAGGCGCCGGGAAGGGACGGCATCAACAACAGGATGCTGAAGAACCTTCCCACCAAAGGCATTGCTGCGCTCACCAACATCGCCAATGCCAGTCTGAGGCTTAACCACTTCCCGCGGCGGTGGCGGGAAGCCCAGGTTATAATGCTCACCAAGCCAGGCAAGGACCGGAAGTTGCCCCAGAACTACCGGCCCATCAGCCTGGTTTCCTCGATGGGCAAAGTAGTCGAAAAGGCTATCGCCGTTCGACTAGAGAAGCAGGCAGAAGAACTGCAACTTCTCCCCCCAGAGCAATTCGGCTTCAGATCCTCCCACAACACGGAACTCCAAGCGCTACGACTGACAGAAAACATCGCCAGCGGCTTCAATCTCCAGGAGGCAACCGGTCTCGTCCTGCTGGACGTGGAACGAGCCTTCGATCGAGTTTGGCACGATGGACTCATCGCCAAAATGGAAGCCGCCGGAATCGATGCGAACATGTGCCAACTGATCCAGAGCTATCTAACACAAAGATGGTTCACGGTGAAGATTGGTACATGCCATTCAACAAGACGACAGCTGGAAGCAGGCGTGCCCCAGGGGTGCTGGCCCTATATGCAGACGACACTGCTATAGCCGCCAAGCATAGACGACCCGAGATCATCCGTAGGAGACTACAGGATGAACTGGACCACATCCAGGACTGGTGCGTGAAATGGAAAATCCGCATCAACGTCCAGAAGACGCAAGCAATCTTCATTCAACGAAGAAGGATTGCAAGACCTCTCGAAGCATCCATCTTCGACGAAGATATCCAGTGGAGCGAAAAAGTCAAATATCTGGGGATCGTATTTGACAAGTCCCTCACCTGGAAAGCCCACATAGAAGCTGTCATCGCAAAGACCAGAGCAGCCATGGCTCAACTCTACCCATTACTGGGTAGACACAGCCGGATGCCGCTAGCGACCAAGCTACGGCTGATCAAGGCCATCGCCAGACCTCAGCTCGCTTACGCCTCCGCGGTCTGGGGGTACGCTGCCCCCAGCTACCGCAAGCGACTTGCTGCTCTAGAGATGAAGCTACTCCGGATCGCCACCAGTGCACCATCCTACGTAAGAAACTCAACCTTGCGTAGAGACCTGCATTGGGACACCATCCACGAGTACATGAGGAAAAAAGCGGAGAAGACCTTCGAGAAAGCTCAGGACCACCCGAACGAGCAGCTACGATTCCTCATGGGCTACGATCCGGACGAGAGGCCTCGCAACCGCAGAACCAGGTACCCTAGACCAAGGTCCCAGTTGGCACCCGCTAACTGGAACCTTGACTAGGAGAATAGGAGAACCCGCGGTTGCTCCCCCCCCCCACGGCGTGGATGCAGAGGACCAGGAACCACCGGCACCAGGACCCACCGGGACCAGGACCCACCAGGACCAGGACCCGCCACGACCAGGACCCACCAGGACCAGGACCCTTCAGGACCAGGACCAGGAACAACATATTGGTAAGAGGACTTGAAACTCTTGATTTTTCGAAAACAAGAGTTTCAAGAGAACCTAGCAGACCCTCTATCGATGATCGCTTAACGATAGATAGATAGAATGTGCGAGGTAAAGGGAACCAACCCGGCGTTCCCAGAGACTGAAACACATGAGGAGACGTTGTAGCAGACCGCAGGTCACGCACAACACATGGCCTACCGAGACGCTGATGAGTCGGGCCACGCGGAGGTTTAGGGTTTGGTGGGTATTAGGTGGTCTCCTCAAGACAACCTGAAGTCCCACACACGCCGTAGCTCGGGCTATGGTATGGTGCGTAAACGCATTCCCCCCTCACCAAAAAAAAAAAAAAAAACATCTTGCTGAAACACAAAATCTTGGCCGGATGTCAAACATTCTTCCATCACTATATTTGTTTGTATCCACATTTCCATCAATAAAATGAAGTTTTCCTACTCCTTTTGATGACATACTGCCCCAGACCATAATGGATGCTGGAAATTTCACTTTTCTCTTCAGACAGTCAACATGGAATGCTTTATTTTTTTTGCGAATAACTCTACTGCGACTGTCACCAACACAAACTTCGAATCGGGCCTCATCACTCCATTGTATTGCACACATTGTTGAGGTGTCTATTGTCTATGTTCTTTAGCCCATCTAAGCCGATTTTTCTTTTGCAGTGGAATTAATAGTGGCTTTTCTTTGGCCTATAAACAAGTTGTGCAACTTTAGGGTTTTTACTTCACTTTTTTTTATAAGAAAACTTACCTTGCAAGTGCTAAATCCCAGTTTGTGGGCCTCTCTATGAATTGTGGACCTCGAAATTCTCCTTCCAACAGCGTCACTCCTCAGAGAACTTAATTGTAAATAATTGGCACGCCTGTTTTTCCCGATTATTCTTCTTAATGCTCTTCGGTCGTGATATTACTTTTTTTCACATATCGTGGCTCAATATTAACTGAACCAGTTACGTTATATCTTCTAAAAATATTTCTCACACTGTACCACGATAAGTCTAACAAAGTTGCATTTTCTGAGTTTGATTTCCCAGAATTAAAAAATTTAATTATCAGTAACCGAATTTTCTCACTAATAACATTTCCTCTACCCAGTTTGAAAACCTTAACTACCCAAAACTAATGTAAACGTATTCTGACAGCTGTGATTAATAAAACCAATTGTCATGGCTTTAATTTTTCACAGCTACCTAAGCGTTATAGACTTATTTTGCATTGAAATGAAAATAGGTTGATATGCTGTAATTGCAACATGTGTTATTTTTATGCTGCAAATTTGATAAGGGAGTGATAAAGTTGGTGTTTTCTACTAAATATTATCAAAATATTCATTGTTAATATTTTAAACCTATAACACCCTGCTACATTTTTATTATTTGTGTTTGATAAGAAAAAACTAAGATTTCAATAGTTGGGCCAACTGAAGTGGGAAGGGGCTCGTAGATATTCGTTCGGATGCAGCAAAGGCTGAATCAAATTTTCATCTGACCATCAGTTTCTCTTCAGCTTTGTTCCAGGTTCCTGGACCAGGAACCTACAAGCCAGAACAGGCTCCCAGGATGAAAGAACAGAGACCTCCAGCGTACTCAATGTCTTACAGATACCCGCCTTTCAAAAAGTTCCTTACACCAGGTCCAGACAAATATGAAGTACCCTCAACCTTAGGTCCCAAGGTTCCTGATAAAAATGCCAATGCCGCATATAGCATGTGAGTTAATCAGATTTGAATACCTTAGTTGAAAAAATAGGTCTAAGCCCTATAACATTGTTTCTATTCCAATAAAATCATATATAGTTTCAAGTATTGCCAGTGTAACAGTTGTATTTAAATCTTCTTCCCAACAGCCTGTCGAATAACTGCTAAGGGAAATACGTTTCTGTCCGGCTTTCCAATCGCTGATTAAGTTTTAAGTTCTGACTAAATATAACCCATAACTGTTGCGATGTGGCAATGATGCTTTCAAGTCTGAAATAGTGTTCTGTCCGTTTTGTGATGATCGATGTTTGCGGTGTAACTGCAAGTGTCTGGTTAATCCATAGTTTTAGGACAAACCTGATATTGAAAAATGCGTTTTGAGAGTTACTTTTTACCTAAGGCCGTGTTTTCCAAGTGCATTCATTTGCTTTTGCCCGGTGCCAGATAATACCTGCTGGTTTTTAATCTCCATATAGAATCCCGGTAATGGCTTTTCATTTCGTAGGTCATTCAAGCACAACTTATCCGAGCTCGAAAGGTCTCCAGGTCCAGCCAAATACAGCGGTCCCAACATGGAGTCCTACAAACAGAAACCACCCAAATATACCATATCCCCCCGCGTGTTTCCCCCAGCAGGCAAAGACAAAGGTCCTGGCCCCATTTATCTGCCAAAACTCCCCAAGAAGCCTGGGTATTCCTTTGGTCTTAGAACTGATACGGATCCGTATATCACTGCAGAAGACGAGATGCCTTGCGTTGAAAGGAAGAAGTAATGCTAAATTTGTAGTAACTGTAGCTATAAGAGGAACACTTAAATTTTTGTCAAATATAATGCCACTGTATAATTTCAAAGGGGAAATAAAGTATGACTGCTCCATTTCACAACACCGTTGTTTCATTTGACAAACTAGCTTTTTCTGAAAAGCTCGTTTTGCCCTAGCTCATGTTATTTTCCGCTCATAGGGTTTTTGTCGCGTGCTAATTCTTCTTTCAGGTACAGGCATAAATCCTAGACAAACACAAACATTTGAATTAACACATTCACTGCTGACGGTGCGGTTCCGTGCTGCACCGCTAGTATCCATATGTGCGCGTGGCGCGGACCCGTGCCGCGCCGCATCGAAAACTGTCCCTTTCAGTGAAAATCCATGAAATTTTTTCGATACGGAGCTCAGCACAAATATAAGAGTTTGTCACAACATGCGCTTGGCTCGGCTACGTGCCACTTGATCTAATGAAAAAATAAAATAAAAATAGTATAGTTGTCATCCTAAATAGTCTCAGAGTTCATTCTGATGACAAAAAAATGTTCGCACACGGGAAAATATATGATAGCACCGAATGTGTTGATGGAATTTTCTTTCTTTGCTTCATTTTTTGAGAAACGTATTTAAAGGATATCCAAATAATTTGCCCATATATCGAATATAACAAGCATTATTTTACCATGACCGAGCTTCTCTAAATTACTCCTCAGTATAGATTAATATTACTTAAATGCAAGATGAGTACATCTATTTAGATATGACAGATAATAAATGTTTTTCTTTCTAAATGGCAAGATATAAAAACTTGAGGTAAAAAATAAGACTTACAAGAATTCATACAAAAATTTATTAAATACATTATAAAAGTGTATCTGATAAAAAACAAACATAAATTTTTGAAATCTCAACTATAAGAGATAAAATTTAAATCACTAATGGTGCAAGTGATGTATCACTACATTTAAAATATTCAATAAAGATTGAAGAAAATATATGACTAAATGGAAGATTCTTTGGAATCAAACTGATCAAAACAAAAGACTTTTTGAAAGTTATATGCTAAAATTTGTTGCAGATAAAAACAAAAATAAAATAAACAAAAAGCAGTGGTAATGGAGAACATAAAGCACATTTTGTAACAAAATTTGTGATGCTCAAGGAATTGGAATAAGAAGCAGCCACTCCTATATGTTTACATTGCATTATTTATGGCCCAAACTGCATAGTTGTATGCAGTTTTGGCTCATTTGTTAACCAATGCCTACCAAAATGACAGCATTTTATCAACATAATAATAATAATACTTACAGGTGGAAACATCTACCTTCATTAGGCTTGTGAGACTTTGCAAATTATGTAAGACCACATGGTATAAGTCTTGGTAAAAGTAATGTGTGCTGTTTGAGAACACTTTGTTCTTTGTTGAGTGCTTTGGAAAGAGGGCATCATATTGATGTGATATACACAGACTTTTCCAAGGCATTTCATAGAGTTAACCCCAGTATCTTACTGAAAAAATGGAGCCTCTTTGGCTTTTCTGACATTATGGTGTCTTGGTTCGCAAGTTTTCTTTCTGATACACGTCAACAGGTGCAGATAGGCAGTGTCAGGTTTTGCTATATCACTGCTTCCTCTGGTGTACCTCAGGGTGGCCATTGTTCTCCATTACTCTTTAACATTTTTATAAATGACATTTCAGTATGTTTTGAAAACAGTAAATTTTTGTTGTTCACAGATGATTTATAATTTTATCAGGTGGATGGTTCCGAGCAGGACTTGATTTTGTTGCAAAACGACTTGAACAGGCTGAGTGACTGGTGTTTTAATAATGATTTATCATTAAATATTGGTTTAAATGTAACTACATTAGTTTTTACAAAAGACAATAAGGCTTCTTACACTAAAGAAAACAATAATCTTGAATATTGCAATGTCATAGAAGATCTTGGTATACTTTTTAATGAACAACTAAGTTTCAACACATAATTATATAAACACTATTGTACTTAATGTTTAAAAAGTACTTGGTTTTGTGATTGTGATCCATAGAAACTTGTGGAAAATTATACAAGTCACTTGTGGTGTCTTTGTTAAAATATGGATAAATGTGCTGGTCTCCCCATTATATGAATAATTGACTAGCCCTCTACGAAGTCCAGAATAAATTTGTTAGGTTTTGTCTTTACAAGCTTGAAATAAGAATTCCTGATGATCATACGAACCATCTAACTGCAAACTCCACCAAATGCAAAAATAATAAAAATTGAGATTGAGCATTGTCACTGACAGGAAACGTTGACATCTGCATTCTGTCAAGATATCATTTCTCAAAACCCGACATTCTCATCATTGTGGTTAAAAACAATTCATTTTGGCTGCAAAGCCCGCCATTTTTCACATTTATTTTCAAACCCTGAAAACTGCAATTTATTTTTCTTATTTGACGGTGCTAATGCTCTCTTTGTTATGATACGATGAATGATATGTATTAAGAAGCAGTATCTACATTAACAACATAAAGTAAATTCATTTTGTGGATAGTATTACGCAAAACAGCCTTCCGCGTTTTTCTTGGAACTGTATGGTTTGTACTTGGCGGGGTTTGCATTTAGATGGCTCATATATAAGATGATGTACTGAATATATTGAACTTGAAGAATGTATGCCAAAGATGTACTCACATTGATTTATTGTTTGTTTAAACTTTTAAATAGCCAGATGCTGTGCCCTGAGCTCTATAACAAAACAGATTACCTCCTTATTGAAAAAATTATGCTATGCACTTGCTTGTTGAGAAGACACTGAATCTTATAAATAATAAGGACATTGAAATATTGGACATACCTTTATTTAGATTTAAAAGGATTATTAGAGAATTAGCTTGATTTTTTATTGGTTGTTGGCTAAAGTTATAATTATGTTTTTTTATTGGTTAGGTATTATTGTATTCGAATTTTCATATATCGACGGGTGCAACGAAGACTGTCGTATCTCACTTTTTGGCGATTTTGAGATAATATGACAAAATGATGCAGAAATACTGTGGCTTCCTTCGAACAAAATCTTATCTTGATTCGGGGATTGGCTAGGCAACCAGTAATTCTTTTTCGTTTTGTTGTATCTCAAAATGTTATGTTATTTACAGCGAAGAATATATTAACTTAACCTTTAACTACACACGTTGGTGTATTTCATACACCACGCGCAGCAAAAATGTTATTGTTTTAACTCTAAATCGGCGGCACTGACAACACCGCGCAATCTAACCTATGCTTACTCTTCCCTGAATACCCAAGAGCAGTCGTTGGTCAATAGTCGAACAGAGAGGTTAATATTTCATTGGCCCTATATGCAGACGACACTGCTATAGCCGCCAAGCATAGACGACCCGAGATCATCCGTAGGAGACTACAGGATGAACTGGACCACATTCAGGACTGGTGCGTGAAATGGAAAATCCGCATCAACGTCCAGAAGACGCAGGCAATCTTCATTCAACGAAGAAGGATTGCAAGACCTCTCGAAGCATCCGTCTTCGTCGAAGATATCCAGTGGAGCGACAAAGTCAAATATCTGGGGATCGTATTTGACAAGTCCCTCACCTGGAAAGCCCACATAGAAGCTGTCATCGCAAAAACCAGAGCAGCCATGGCTCAACTCTACCCATTACTGGGTAGACACAGCCGGATGCCGCTAGCGACCAAGCTACGGCTGATCAAGGCCATCGCCAGACCTCAGCTCGCTTACGCCTCCGCGGTCTGGGGGTACGCTGCCCCCAGCTACCGCAAGCGACTTGCTGCTCTAGAGATGAAGCTACTCCGGATCGCCACCAGTGCACCATCCTACGTAAAAAACTCAACCTTGCGTAGAGACCTGCATTGGGACACCATCCACGAGTACATGAGGAAAAAAGCGGAGAAGACCTTCGAGAAAGCTCAGGACCACCCGAACGAGCAGCTACGATTCCTCATGGACTACGATCCGGACGAGAGGCCTCGCGACCGCAGAACCAGGTACCCTAGACCAAGGTCCCAGTTGGCACCCGCCAACTGGAACCTTGACTAGGAGAACCCGCGGTTGCTTCCCCCCCCCCACGGCGTGGATGCAGAGGACCAGGAACCACCGGGACCAGGACCCACCGGGACCAGGACCAACCAGGACCAGGACCCGCCACGACCAGGACCCACCAGGACCAGGACCCTTCAGGACCAGGACCAGGAACAACATATTGGTAAGAGGACTTGAAACTCTTGATTTTTCGAAAACAAGAGTTTCAAGAGAACCTAGCAGACCCTCTATCGATGATCGTTTAACGACATCGATAGAATGTGCGAGGTAAAGGGAACCAACCCGGCGTTCCCAGAGACTGAAACACATGAGGAGACGTTGTAGCAGACCACAGGTCACGCACAACACATGGCCTACCGAGACGCTGATGAGTCGGGCCACGCGGAGGTTTAGGGTTTAGTGGGTATTAGCTGGACAACCTGGAGTCACACACACGCCGTAGCTCGGGCTATGGTATGGTGCGTAAACGCATTCCCCCCTCACCAAAAAAAAAAAAAAAAAAAAAATCGATTTAAGGCAAGGAAACCACTTGGTGCACAGAATACACCGCGCGTGTAAGAATGTAAGTATGTTTGAATAATTTTTAATTTTTTGTTTTGTTACTAAATATGTGATTTTATAGGATTTTACTCATTTCAATTTATTGATAATAAGGTATAATTTTCTGTTTTAGGGAACGCGTCAATATCAAGGATCCTAACCGTCTTACAGAAGAAGAGCTTCAGACCATAGCACAAGTTATTTGGGACGATGATTCGGAAGAAGAAGTAGGAGGTAAAGCAGATACATCGGAGGAGGAACTCATTGACCAAAGCGACCACAATTCGGCTTCTGAACAAGAGAGCGATAGCGAAGAGACAAACGTTGCCGATAGTGATGAAGAGGCTGAGAGAGGCGAAGCAAATTTTGTGGCGAAGGATAGGGTAACACGATGGAAAAATATTGTAAAAATATTTCCTGGACCCAAACAATGTGCTAGAAATATTATGAAATTTGAAACATTTTTTACTGAAGATATCATTGAAATTATTCTTGAATATTCTAAATACAGAGATTGAAAAAATGCGAGTGAACTTTGATAGACCCAGAGATGCAAAAAATATTTCGAAGACTGAATTAATGGCATTTATTGGATTATTATATTTAGCTGGACTAAAAAAAGAAAACCATACTCATTTCTTGGAGTTGTGGACAACTGATGGGACGGGATGTGAAATATTTAGAGCTACTATGGGCTGCAACAGATTTTTGTTTATCCTCAGCGCTCTTCGATTTGACAGCAAGGCCACGAGAACCGAAAGAAAAAAAATTGATAGACTTGCAGCAATTAGATCTATTTTTGAACGTTTTATCAAAAAATGCGAAAATAACTATTGTATTGGCGAACAAATGACAATCGATGAAATGCTAATCCCTTTTCGTGGCAGATGCAGTTTCATCCAGTATATCCCAAACAAGCCCGCCAAATATGGCATAAAAGCATTTGTTTTATGTGATTCTAAGTCATTTTATGTCACTAACATGGAGATATATTGCGGCACGCAACCTGAGGGGCCCTACAAAAAATCAAATAAGCCAACGGATATAACACATCGCTTAGTTGAACAATGGAAAGGAAAAAACAGAAACTTGCCATGCGACAATTGGTATACAAGTTATCCACTGGCAAAAGAGCTGCTTGACCAGAAGGTAACATTAGTAGGAACAATAAAAAAAACAAAAGAGAGCTTCCATCAGAGTTTCTCCCGGATAAAAAGAGGCAGGAAGGATCATCGATATTTGGATTTCAAAAAGACATCTCCATTGTATCATTTGTTCCAAAAAAAGGTAGAGCAGTAATTTTGTTATCATCAATGCACAGCGATTCATCAGTAGATTTGGAGACGAATAAACCACAAGTCATTTTAGATTATAATTCTTACAAGGGTGGAGTAGATACGGTCGATAAAATGTGCAGCACATATTCTGTATCTAGAAGAACTAGACGGTGGCCATTAGTAATATTTTTTCAGATGCTAAACGTTACAGGAATAAATAGTCAAATACTTTACAATGCGAATCATATCAATGCTACGCACAAATACAGACGGCAGTATCTAAAGGCGTTATCAATGTCCCTAATTAAACCATACCTTGAGGAAAGAGCGGAAATAAAAAGTTTGCCATCTGACTTACAGATTTTCCTTGCTAAATTTAGAAAACCAATGGAGACGTCGAACGAAGAACCGCTATCAAAAATACGGAAAAGGTGCTTTTGTTGCGGGAGACAAAAAACAGAGTTACAACAATGTCATGTAATACATGCAACAAGCCGGTCTGTAAAGAGCATGCTATCACTATTACAAATTGTAAAACATGCAATAATGAACACAAAAATTCTGAAAGTGAATAGTAAGATTAATTCAATTACTTTGAAATATTTTTCTTTTATGCATTCTTATGTTTCCGATATATAATAATTTTATATTCATGCATAAAAAACTAATCAAATTTGAAATTTTTATGTTTGTATCCCATTTTATCTTGTTTGCGTTGTTACATTCGATTTGATTTAATTTTGCCACTTAGATTTCATTTTGAAAATAAAATAATGAATACTTTAAACCCGCTTTTTTATTACAATTTCCTTCGAAGGTTAGTATTCAACATTGATGTACAAAATACACCAAGCGTGTACTTATGGTATATTTTAGGCCGCGTGTAGTTAAAGGTTAAGATACCACAGTTTTCTCGGGAAAAAAAAATAGATGGTGACACCGTAAGTCTAAGATACTATGTAAACAATCAGACCTACAACCTGTAACCTCTAATTATTAACCCGTTCAGGTTGTGACATTAAAGTGAATTTTTATGAAAAATGAAGAGAAGGACCAATTTAATTTTGGAAAAAGCTAAGGAGGCTTTTAAAGAAAGTCCAGGTTAGTATTTTTTAGTATAATATGGGTCTTTTCTTTTTTATTATTTGAGTTTATTGTCTTATTTCATTAGATTATGCTGTCTGCTCATACTGAATTTTTTGTAGCGTTGCTTGTCTGTTGCTGTGTCTCTTTAACCCGCAACCGGTGACGTGGAGTCTCAGAGACTCCTTGAAAATGAATTATTTTTATAATTTCTAAAAGGGACGCCTCTGGACAGCGCACCGCCTGGTACCTTCCTAGAAGTAGTAAACAAACAACACCCTACTTGTGCGGTTAGTTTACGCTTATCCGTTGTCGAGTAAATAACGTGCCGGAGCCAGCCAGACTCCACGTCACCGTTAGTGTAACTGTTTGGCTTATCGTGTGCTTTGTTATAGTTTTTTTTATATTATTATAATGACTAATCGACCAAGTACCTCACGAGGTATTTGTGTAACAGATCCAAAGTTCGAGGAGGCTGTTTTAAATTAGTATAAAAGTCTAGATTCAGATAACAGTGATATTGACGATACTGATCCGGATTTTGGCATTCAAAGTGATCACAATTCAGCATCCGAGCAATCTGAAAATGAATCCATTGCAGATGATGGAAATTATATTCAAGATATCGAAGAACAGGATTCTTCAAGCGATGATGAACAACCAAGATCGACAAACAATTATTATGGTAAAAATCGTTTCAAGTGGTCGGCAAAGGAACCTACTAAAAATGTTCGCACTCAACAGCACAACATTATTCTTCATTTACCTGGGCTACGAGGAAAGTCTCGGACTTTCGGTAATTCGGTAAACCCAAATGAAATATGGAAGTGCATATTTACTAATGACATGGTAGATCTTGCAGTCAAATGGACAAACATAAAGTTAGCGAGTGTCAGGACCAAATATAAAAGAGAAGATCGACCTGAATTACAAAACGTTGACCGGATCGAAATAGAGGCTTTTTTCGGTTTACTCATCTATACAGCAATTTTCAAGTCAAACGACGAAGACAGATGGGACAGGCAGAGACATTTTCCGGGCCGTGATGAGCGGGAAGAGATTTGCAGTTCTAATCAATTGTTTGCGTTTTGATGATCCTTCCACTAAAGAGCAACGAAAGGCAGTGAATCTATTAGCACCAGTGCAAGAACTGTTCGAGATGTTTATTCAGAACTGTCAAAATGAGTTTTCTGTAGGTGAATATGTGTGCGTTGATGAAATGTTAGCTGGTTTTCGCGGTCGATGTCGTTTTCGGATGTACATTCCAATCAAACCGCGAAAATATGGCATAAAAATTATGATTCTAACGGATGCGAGGAATAACTATGTTTACAATGCATACGTATACACAGGACTAGATGATTCTGATGGAACCGGGCTTTCAGTGGACGAAAAATAGCTTCCTAAACCCACCCAGGCTGTATTACGTCTTTGCAAACCCTTATTTGGTAGTAATCGTAACTTGACCGCCGATAACTGGTTTACCTCGGTAACTGGTGGAGTTGCTGAAATCTAAAGATATGACTTACGTTGGAACTATGAAAAAGGCTAAAAGACACATTCCTCCAGAATTTCTTCCTCAGAGACTTAGAGCAATTGGATCAGCAACATATGGTTTTACAAAGGATTTGGCCCGAGTTTCATTTGTTCCTAAAAGAAGCAAAGCTGTTATATTAGTATCATCCATGCACCACAGCATTGCCACAGACCCGGAAACGCAAAAACCTGAAATCATTAGTTTTTATAACATGAAAAAAGGTGGTGTTGATGCTTTAGATGAGAAATGCACAGTTTATAGTACGTCTAGAAGAACACGACGATGGCCAATGGTTATATTACATAAAATATTGGATATGAGTTCAGTAAACGCATATGTCATGTATCAATGTTATACGGGTAATAGAACCTTACACAGAAAAGATTTTCTGAAAAACCTGGCTCACGATTTAGTTGAAACACATATGAAAAGGAGATTGGAGAACAGTAGAATTCCGCTGGAAGTAAGAGAGATTATAAAGCGTATACTTCATGCAGATGTATCACCTTCCGTCGAGCATGACCGCCTAGAAGTTAGGAAATATTGTTATCTGTGTCCTTCAAAATTACATAGGAAGACGTCATATTTGCGGGTTTGTTGCAAAAAACCAATTTGTTTGACTTGCAGTCATAAAATATGTAGAGAGTTCAATGCACGAATGTAATAGAACATTTTTTTTTTAATCCAAACTGGCGCATGCAGGTTTTTTTATGGTCAAGGTTTTAGTTACGTTTTTTATGGAAATAAGTTTTTCACTGGATGTTGTTACTAACACTTTTGTCAATACTGCAGCAAGAAATATGTTAAAATAAAAAATTGTTAACCTAAATACTAATGTTATTTCTTACTTCCCTATTGAAATAATGAAACAAATAATTAAGTACCTCCATGCAAATAATAGTTATTTGGTATCCCTATAGAACATACTTAAGCTTAGTACTGTTGTATGTTATGAATATACTTAAAACACCTAAATATTTAAGAGGAGACTCCACGTCACCGATAACGTAACTGAAATGGAACGTCACCGGTTACGGGTTAACGATTGTTTTTAATTTCAAATAATGGTTTTAATGGGAGAATGTCTTTAAGATTTAAGATATTTTTTTACTTTGTATAGCAACTTTACACCTCAAATTTTGTATTGTGCCAAATAATGAATAAATGTAGTATCTTATAATAAAAAATTTATTGTCTTAGGACTTCTAAGGTCAACCTCTCAGAATTACCCAGTTGGAAATGAGATGCTCTTCCAAAATAAAGAACGTGGTCAGCCTGAGAACCAGCCTTGCCAGAATATAGTATCTCACACCTGTAAGAAGAAACTTATTTTGTTAAAATTAAATTTAGTTACATTATGTCTAATTTGATACTGTTAATAAGTAGGTATTTCACTGTACTTTTTAGATTCAAACGATGCAACAAACACACCAAGCTACAAGTTTTCTACAACTTCAGAAGATGAAGATCCATTTGAGGATAATTCAGATTTGGATCCAAATTTTGAATTAAGAGATGATGACAAGACAATAACTGAAGGTGACATGAAAATGATTTGGTAGATATAACAACTAAAAAACGTAAACGATTTATGAAGAAAAAAGAAAGGAAGCGACAAAGAAAACCCGAAGAATGGGCGGATAATAAAGCAAAATCTATGTTAGATCAAGGAAAAGAACATAAAAATATAGCAGGGAAAAAAATTAATGCAAGAAAATTAAAAGAGCCATGTAAGTGTAGATTTAAGTGTGCAGATAAGATGACTGAAGAAAATAGACAAAATATTTTTGAGGACTTTTGGGGTATTGCAGATCACACGATTTTATTCTACGATTTGTTGAAGAAAAACAAAAAAAAAATCACTGTGTGCAATAAAGAGTCAAGAAGACAGCTATCGAGAACCTATTTTTTTAAAATTAACGACACTTTACAAAAGGTTTGCAAAACCATGTTTCTTAATACTGTAGATATTTCTGAAACTTGGGTAAATACAGCTTTTTCAAAAACATTGGAAAGTGGAATACTCAAAAATGACAATCGAGGAAAACATGATAATCGACCTAACAGAGTAAGTAGGTATCAAAGAAAGTGTTTGCAGCCATATTAATATGTTTCCTGTAGTGCCTTCACATTATCTCCGTAAGGATACTAAGAAAATGTATTTTGAACCGGGCTTAAATATTAAAAAAATGTATGGTTTGTTCATGCAATATTGTGATGAAGAAAATATCATAGAAAAAGCTTCTGAACTACAGTATCGAGATATATTTAATAATGAATTTAACAATGCATTTTTTAAGCCAAAAAAAGACCAATGTGAAAAATGTTCTGCTTATGAATTAGCTGATGAAACAAGAAAGTTACAATCAAAAGAAGACTATGATAAGCATATCAAGAATAAAGTTTTGGCCAGAAATCTAAAGGATTCTGATAAAGAACTAGCTGTTGAAAATAAAGATATTTGTGTTGCAGCATTTGATTTGCAGAAAGTATTATCAACCCCACAATCCGATGTAAGTGATTTTTATTATAAAAGCAAATATTCAACTTATAATTTCACTGTATATGACTTAGGCAATAACGAAGGGTATTGCTATTACTGGCTTGAGAGAATTGCTAAAAGGGGCTCTGTTGAAATAGCAAGTTGTCTTTGGAAATTTCTGGAAGTTCAGAAATCGAAAAATATTAGGCAAATCATTTTTTACTCTGATAATTGCGGGGGGCAAAATCGAAACAAATTTGTATTTTCCATGATTTCCTATGCATCAAAAACTTTTGGATTAAATATCATCCATCGTTTTTTAGAAAAAGGGCACACCCAAAATGAAGGAGATAGCATGCATAGTGTTATTGAAATTGCTGGATCTAAGTGTCCTGTCATTTATGTGCCCACCCAATGGGTTACGATTATTAGAATGGCAAAAACTACAGGAAAATCGTACATAGTTACTGAAATGGAACAGGATAATTTTTTTAATTTTAAAAGCTTAACAGAAAAACAAAACTGGAAAACAGATGAATCAAAGAGAACCATAAAAATAAGCAAAATAAGAGAAATTGAATTTAAATCAGAACAACCGGACTTCGTGTTTTTCAAATATGAATTTGCAGCTGACAGTGCTAATATTATACAACTAAAAAGAAACATAACGCATGGCCAGAACGCAGTGGAGCTAACAAAAATATATAATGGAGATATACCTATTGATGAAAAAAAACTAAGAGGCATCTTGTGGTTGTGCAATATGGGAAAAATTCCTTCCATGTACCATGATTTTTACAGGAGCCTAAGAACAAAGAAGCAGAATAATAATGAAAATGACTCTGAAGAAGAAGTTGAAGACTAGCATTATTAAGTATTAATTTTTTGAAACTTATTAGGTTTTTTTATTTTGTACACTGCCTAAACATATTCAAAAAAGTAATAAATTTTTTAAATTTTTTCAAAATGTCTTTTTTATTACCACAAATTACTTTATGTCAGAAAAATCAAAATTGAAAGAAAAACTATAAGCTTATTTACTCAAAACGATAAAAAGTGAGTCACGACAGTCTTCCTTGCACCCATCGATATATAAACTTTTTGTAATGTTGATCCTGCATAAATAAATAAAGCACCATGTCTTGAAATCATCCAACATCAAAATTATGAGCAAACACTCACATTTTTAAAAAAAACAATTATAAATAGGAATTTAATAGAACTGTCAAAAGAGACACACAAATCCTTGACTGGTTCCTTCTACGTAATTCATTGGGGCATTGAGTGCAAAAATAAAATATAAACACACACAAAAAACAAAAGAAAGAGCTAAATACTACTGCTATTCTTTTGTTCCATTCAAGGTTGACTTGATATCATCACCCTCATCCAGATGTCCCTTTCTTTGTCTCACTCTTTGAGCTTCCAAAGTGTCTACCAACTTTTTAATAAATGGATGTTTGATTTTTCCTTCCATCACGTCAAAGAACACTTGATGCTTTCCTGGGGTCTGGTCACGGTTTTCATAGTATGAAGCTGTACATAGCAGGTCAAACTGGTCTAAATCCTTAACAAATTTCGCCTCTGGGGTTTCTTTCGCTTCATATTCTTTATACAGGGTATAAATTAATGATCCTACTTCATCTCCTACTAGCTTACTGATGCCTTTCATCGCTTCATCTTCCATTTGGTGCTTTTTTTCTACAGGTATGTTATCGTGAGGTGTGATGTCCCCCACAATACTCTCAGCTAAATCATGAACAACAGCTAACTGTAGGCACTTTAACCTGTCTAGTTTGGAGTCATTTCCAAGGAAGAATGTCATCATTCCCATAGAATACATGTGGCCCGCAATTTGCTCAACATTTTCCACACCCTGGTAAGCCCAACCTCTTCGCGGAAAATGTTTCAGGTTGTTGACTAATACCATGAAATTCAAAACATCTTCAGGATTCATGTTCTCCATTCTCGTACCGTAACTATAACCTGTGCCGTAACAATGACTCAGAACTCAGATTCAACTTTTACTTTCTAATCACAGAGATAACAATCATATTATACTATTTTTCAGGAGTATACATCACGGTAGACTAACAACACAGCCGACGTCAACTACGTTGACGTCGGCTGTGCTAACAACTAACAACTGATTATCTAGTGATATTTGAAAACTCCCCATATCGACAAGTGACATATAATTTATTCTGAGGAATTCGTCAACGTAGACAGATCCGTATTTTGTTGTGTTTTTTTGTGCGCTACAGATTCATTTTGTACTTGATAACAAATCATTTATTTAGAAAAGTTCTTTGCATATGAATAAAAAAACACTATAAGCAAAATTACTGCTAATGATCTTGACTACATTTCAAGTTAGGTAGGAATAAAATAAGATAAATAGTTTTAAACCTGATAATCATGTCTACTTTTTTGAACTTGAAACACCATACGATTTTAAAGAGCAATAAAACATCCAAATTATAATTAATTCAGAATGAGTGGCAGTATATGACCGAATTGATAGAGGTTTTTTGATTCCCTGAATTAGGTCCTAAAGGGAACGCAAACGTCGTATGGAAGCTGATAGCGCTTGGGGGATGAAAATGAATGTAGTTTATGGTTTTTAAAAATCAAGTAAGACATTGATTTGGATGTGGGATGTACGATGTCAGCAAATTGATGCTATGCCATCATTACGATACATATCAAAAAAATGGGAAATTCCAGGAAATATATTTTAGTTTTATTTTGCAGTTTGAGTAAGCTGTATTAACTATTACTTGTTATATTAGGTTCTGCACATATAATTTGAATGACGTTATACCCTATTCACGACTATCCATCACGCTTTGACGTCTACTGATCTGAACAGCTGATCAGCAAGTGGCATTTTTTGTATGCAAATTAACTTTTCTAAATAAAAGAGCTTTTAGCAAGTATAAAATGAATCTGTTCTTTCCCGATATGGGGAATTTTGGAACGTTACTAGATAATCAGTTGTCTACCATAATGGATACTCTTGAAAAATACTATACACTGACGACGGACAATAAACCAGAAACACGTGATATTAGATATTCTTTTTACAGGTAAAATTACAGCTTCTGGAAAGAACAACGCAGACTTACCTTGTAATCAAGAAATCAACGATGTACTATAATAATTTTCTAATAAACATTTTCATATCTGTGCTTCGTACATTTTATTGTCACTTTTCCGTCACTTAAAAGTGTAATCCAGATATGTGAACAACAGCTCTGAATACGGTCCTGAAATTCATTATTGTCAACGTTACGAACTAATACAAATATGTCGCTTTTGTGATCAGCTGGTCACCTCAGTAGACGTCTAAACGTAATGGATACTCGTGAAAAATACCATATAGAATTAAAAATATAGTTTGAACTAAAACCTGAAGTTTAGGTTATTGTTATTGAGTAATAAAATTCACGTTATTATTGACGGGTTGCTAGCGCCATCTCTTCAGGCTAAGAAGAACTTTTATAAGGAAACGTGTATTCCATACCGGCATTCAATATTTCTAAATGACAGTATTACATATTACTGTGGATGCACGATGCACTGTGGATGGAAGTCCCAATTGTCATAGGTGATGTTGTCAGACTTAACTAATAATCAGATGATTCGGTTCTTTTGGTCTGCCTACCCCTCATAGCCTGGTCGACCATTTTTTTCACCAACCTAAAAAGATGTATATTGTTCAGATCAATTTTATATTTTTGCTATTTGTAGTTTTTTTTTCGACTACAAATACATGAATGTGTTCTTTATAAATTCGCTGTAAGGATAAATCGACGTAGTTACCTGAAGATAACCAATCATATAATGTATTCCGGCGTCGAAAAAAAGTTCTGAAAGATACTAGGTATACTGTCTATCAGGCAATATCAGCACACAAAGATGAACTTAAAAATCTACTAGACTGTTTGGTTCTGATACCGTCTTATAGATGATACTATATGATCCTCTTATCTTTTTGCCGCCCCTCTAATACCTTTTTTAATTTGGTATCTTTAGGGATTGATTACCGTATTCCACATTAAGATATAAGGATTGACGACACAAAAATGGGTTTAAGAATCTATCTGAAAAAATTATTTGATTCTGCTATTGCCTTGGCGCTAAGCCGCTAGGACATCAGCCTCTTTTTGGATGTCGGAATAGGTGGCATTTTTAACAATTTTCTGATCCATTCCCTGCCTGGTGAGATGTAAGATTTACCTCGACCCTTTCCCAACTCACGAGAGTTTTTTTCAAAATTTTTAATTTTAATGTACAGGTGTAGAATTTAAACCACACATTTTGCATCATCAGTTTTATTTAAGACTAGTAAATACTAACTAAATCGTCTATTGCTCTTAGCAATTCAGTCTGCTCTTCTTAACGTGGACGTCTGGGGCCCGCACGAGGTGTCCATTTACGTGTACGTTTAATTTCACCAAATAGTCTTGCGAATTTTAAACTGTTTATCGGAAGGACACATTACGTGATATTTGTTGAGACTTCCTGCCTCTCCACCTCATTCAGTATACATATGGCTATCTGCCGGTAGAATACCTAAGGCCCCTATCGTCAGTCGTCCCTACAATTGTAGGGCGCGTTTATGGCCTCCTTGATTGTCATACTCCTTTCTTTCCTTCAAAAATTGGTGACATAACAATTGTAGGGGACCTTTATGGTCTCCTTGATTGTCATAGTTTTCTACTTCTCCGTGTCAGAACTCTATTTTGAGGTTATGTCACAAACACCTATTTGCATCAAATTGTGCTTGCTTTTGACTTATATCATGTTTTATCAGCCTGAAATTTCCTACAATCTAAAAAAAGTGTAATCTAGAAATTTTTAAATGAGAGAAAGGTGTATGACAATCAAGGAGGCCATAATCGCGCCCTACAATTGTAGGGACGACTGACGATACGGGCCTAAGTAAATCATGGCTGTCAAAAACGACAAAAGTCTAAGGGTCAATAATTTCAGCATAACCAACTAATTTTTCTAAGTCTGTAATGTGTGTAGATCACCTTTTGATAAAATTATTTTTTCCTCCCAACTACTCTTTTTTTGCTAGCCACAAAAAATGTGGCAACAGCGCAAATCACTACTTCAATTTTGAATCTATAGATCTGGATACTTTATACCTTTTTTCATTTTTTGATTGTGTGATTCATATGAGCATATTGTGAGAAACCAATTATAAAATGATAAATTGCTGTATTATAGGCTTCAAGTATTTACCGTTTAGCGACCTGGGAAATGTTGAATCAAATAATACATGGGCTTCATGTTGTCAAGTGCCTATTCAGATAATTTAAAAACTTCAACCTCGAACGGTAATCTCAATCTAACCGAATATGAAATGAAATGTTCCTTTCATACATTCATATAGTGATGCAGCATCGCATTATCGAACAATGAAAACCGGTTTATTAGAATGTTCGGAATGTAGGCCGGATAATTTTTACCTCAGCCATTCTTGTGAAATCGAAATTTCTTGTAGGGTCCCGCTATCTTCCGCTAGAGGGCCAAAAGACATTCCTGTGCGGCCATTTAAAAACGAACGGGATAAAGTGACGTGTTAGGGGTATGTGCCCTGTCGAACATATTTGTTTACATATCAAAACGTGTGTTGATCGTATTTTGTAACTGATAAACCGTGATCGCGATGCATCCAAGTCGGCGTAGGAAAAAGCGGCCAAACTACGGCTTGAGAACCGTTGAAGTGATGCGGGGACCAAATGGATTTGGATTCACCATTTCCGGGCAACAACCCTGTATTTTGAGCTGTATAGTCAGCGGATCACCTGCAGATCAAGGTGGATTAAGGGCTGGTGACTTTCTTATCTCCGTTAACGGTGTATCAGTGTCAAAGGTAACACATGACGCTGTGGTGAGTCTCATTGGAAACTGTGTCGGCCCTATCAAGATGACCATTGCTGAAAACTACTACTCTGACAGTAGCGATGAGGAACTCGAGTGTGGAAGAGTCATGAATAGCAGAAAACCGAAATACATGCATAAACCACGACCTAGGGCTCATAAAGGCGACCTACGTCGAACAGCTGTAGAAACAAATGAAAAAAACAATTGCAAGTCAAGGCAAGCTAAACAACCATTGAGTGAAAAGCCTCCTGAGAATGAGTTGAACATATCAGGCCCTATGCCTATGGAAGATCAAGCGGGTCCTATAGAATACAGAGCTCTAGTTGGATATTTAGGCACAATCGAAATGCCAAACCAACTATTGCCACATAATCGACTCCAAACTGTCTGTAGTTGTATCCGCAAGTTAAGACAAGAAAAAAGGCTACCCACAGCTGTTCTAATGACAATACTCCCCACATGCTTGACTCTAAAAAATGCCTCAAATCATATCCTTGCAATCTACCCAACCAACCGTGTTACATATGTTGGTACCACAGCTGATAGAGAATCGAGATATTTTGGTTTGGTAACTAGTGCTACTTGTGATCTAAGAAACATTGTAAATCTTGAGAAGAGATCATCCAGTACTGGTGAGAATTGTGTAGAGATTTCAAACAGTTGCCATGTTTTTGTGACAGATCCTAAAATTGTGGACCACAATGTGCATAAAAAGAAAGCAGAACTCTTTAAGATAACTTGTACCACAAACCCAGTTACTGGAAACTGCCTAGAGTTTCCACAGAGTGCTTTGTACGTAGTTAGTTTGATTCAAAACATGTATAAATTGCAAAGCAATCATAAAAACAATGGACATATCAGCCCAGTTATTGCAAATTCACCTCAACCAAGTGCCTCTAGTAATTCAGATTCTGGTATAGGGTTTAGAGATGATTGTGGTAATATCAGTGATCGTATCTTGGTTGTGGAATTTCCTATGCATCGTCCTTTACCAGTACTGAATAGTAATAATAGACCCACTGCAATTGATGCTGCCAATGTTAATTTGGAAGACTTAGATGTACCTTTGGCAAAAGATCAAAGCAGATGTCTACTCAATAATGTGAGGAGTCAAAAGCAAGATAATTTGAATAATATTAGAGCATGTGAAGGGGTTAAGATAAAAAACCAGTTGGACAATTTTAATAAAACAGTGTATTTGTCAAAATATAACAATCATGGAAATCAAACAAAACTGATTACTAAACCTGTGTCTTCAAAAGCTACTAGAACTGTATCACCAAGCAGTTCTGAAGACAATACCAAAATTAGAGACACAGATTTTTTTCAAAAACATCATGAAAGAACTGTGGATGCTTTACAACTGATACCTAATAAAAAATTATATGAAAGCATGTCCTTGAACTCAATTACTGATTGTGAATTTATAGGATCAACTGACAATCTTTCAGTCCACAGTTCAAAAAGTTTGGAGCTTTCCAACTTGTTCAATGTTTTTAAAGTTCCATTTGACAGAAAGATCAAACGACAGTTGAAAAATGCAAATAGTTGTGACAATTTGGACAAATACAATGAAAATATTTTAAACTATAAACTGGGCCCAAAAACTTACGGAATGTCCAAGCAGAACTATAGTTGTGAAGAACTGAATGCAGAGCTTGTAGATACGAAAACTTTTGGGAGCTTGCAAGATTTGAGTAGCTGTAGTGAGAACATTGGGAAGAGGAGGAACATTGTAGCACAGAGTGAGCCTGATATTAGAGTTTCTACTCCTACGACCAGCAGTACCTTCAGTTGGGTAAGTTATTTTATGTTTATGTTTTAAATAATTGCATTGCATTGTCTTCTATGGGGCTTAACATTTAGTTATAGGTTCATGAAAATAAATGTTATTATTATAAAGGTTGACAAATGATGTAAAAAGGGAAAAAATATTTGGATCTGAGAATCTGATTTGTCACCATACTCTTCTAAAGGCTCCTTGGTCCCCTTATCTAATCCATATATCAAACATACAACTATTCTCAGCTTTCATTCATTGTCCTACCTGAGATCAAGCCTAGACCATGCTAATCAGTTGCGAAATAGCACCAAACAGCTGTCTATGGTTGGCTGTCTGTGATCTGACGGACAAAAGCTATATTATTAGTTTATATAACTAGTTGTTTCATAACTTGCATGTTTGTTGAGGAACAAGTAAAAAAATATGAGCATATTATAGCACTTGATGTAGAATATCAAGCATTGGCTTTTACTGGTAAAAATAGTCTCACAATCTAAATGAGAAATATTATGAACTTTGAGTGAATACTAATGAAAGCATTTTTGGCGATTTAAAGGGTATGCTAAATGGTAAGGAGTTAAGGTATATTGGAGTTACCTGTTAATACAGGTGCTGCATAAATATTTTCATGTAAGAGTTGAATCTAGATAAATTTGAAAATGAATGCTGAATGAGAAGAGTTGTTCATCATGGAGGATCAAGAACCCAAAATGATCTACATCTTAGTAATTGACAAGGTAAGTAGAAAAATGTTTTAATAGCGTGCACCACATTCCTTTATTTGTAACAAAGTGTAACTATTGGTATCTATTGAACGAGAATTTTTTTGTGATTGGACACTTTACAAAAGTCTTTAATACATTACATTAAACATTGCTTGTCCTCAACCTTTATTTACAATACCTTCTACAAGATATCTATTTTAAATACAGTATTATTCAAGTCATTCAAATTTTTATAATTATTACAATAAAAAAAAATATTAAAATATTAAAATTCAAATAATCATTAATACCATTCTGTTTTTCCAACTACCTACATACTTTTCATTTTATATACCTTCAAAGTTTAGAAGAATATATTTTCAAATTCAAGGCCACCTCACTAATCCAGAGAGGCATTTTTGGTACACTGGCTTGATGTGAATTTTAAATAATACAGTTTATAATTCTATACAAAATTTTAGTATTACTACTACTATGAGTTTAGTGAACAGGATCTTTCAGTTCACTAAATATAAGTCACAAAGCCTTCAAATTTCGCGTTCTACATTTCTTCCCGATACTTTTATCAATTTATCCACCCTAAAATTTACATTTTTTTAAATCCTTTAAGATTTCCATTTATTATCAAAAATCATATCTATGATACACGTAAAATCAACCAATACTAAAACATTATCATATTCTCTCAGTTACTCTATTTTATTGCCCTTCAAAGTTCAGATGAGTGTATTTTAAAACCAGAGATCACTCGCTAATTCTACAGAGAGGTTTGTCGTGCACTAACGTGATGTATACTGGTTCAATTCACCGAAAAAGGCTTCCTCACTCGGCCCAAAACTTCATTTGTTACTAGTTACCATAGTTACTTTTATTCCTTTTTGTTGTCACACCTGCCAAATATTCTGTTTCTGGTGTTTCTGTGTGCCCGTTACTCGAAATGTACTAGGATTTGAAGTAAATTTCGCGTTTTTTCGCCGTTTTTGCTGAATAAATGGATCTATCCAGAAATATTTCCAAAGTGTGAATTGAGAACGCGTAGTGTGGACTGAGAATTACTAATATTTGCTTGATTTTCTAGATGGGTGTTTAAAGTGCATTTCGTAAATCCTAGGAATCATATATTTCAAAAGCTTTGCAAGTAGAGTGAACGCTTCTTTTGCATGTCTTTATCAAGGTTTAAAAGTCGAAACAGCGAGAGGCGGTTTTCTAGATTGCACGCAGGCTTTATTTGAACGTCAGATATTGCTCAGGAGTTTGTATATTTTTCATTTTTATCTTCCGTTGTGACATTTACACAAAAATGCAATTTGAATTGTTACGGGTGAGGCTGGTACAATTTTCAGAACCTACTAAAAAAACGTGATTTTTATGTTTACACAAACTTTCAATGTCTCGTTTTGTTATAATATGTATTCAGTAATACAAAAAATATTCGTATATACTGTGGGTCCCAGATTCGCTTCTCCACCTTCTACACCTACAGCAGAGGTTAAATGGGGAACGTGTTAGAGGAAACTTAGTGCTTTGGATAGCCAGCTTCAGATTTACGATCGGTCAATTAGTTTTGAAAATATCAGCGAAAAACGGAAAATGGCGAAATTTGTTTTTTGCCAGAAAATCCAAAACGGTCAATTTGACAGATGTCAAAATATGACATTATTCCGACTTTTTTAAGAAAAATAAGGTAGCATGAATGACATATCTCAATCGTCTTTTGTTCCAGCAACCCGTCTCAACTTTCATTTTTCTTATGGCGCCATGTTGGATGTTTTGATTTTTGAAAAGAGTAAAATTTCCAATCTAGTGATGTCACACAAGTGCATAAAATATTATCAGAGTATCAGTTTTTCTAAGGAGGCCATGATTTATTTGTCAGAAAATAACATTAATGAGTATGGCATAAAAACACGTAAACGCCTTGAATTTTCAATAGCTTATTAACGTTACTATCGACTTCTCAACAAGTCAAATGTTTTGGGTCAAATTCTCAACTATGAGCGTCTTAAAACAACAAGTCAGAACGATCGTCGTAAATTTATTTTACATTTGACAAACAAACATTTTACAAAATTGTAATGTAATGTAAAATCTAATTATGTAACTGAGTATTAATTTACAGATTTGCAAAATAACGTCCATTTGTATCCAGACATTTTTGACAATTGGTGACTGTTTTTCGTACAGCCTTATCTAACGTACAGGTATTTCTCAGGTCGCAGGAGGATCAAATTCATAAACCTCATTCTTTGTGTGACCCCAGAGGTAGAAATCCAAGGGTTAAATGTCAGGGGATCTAGGGGGCCAGATATTGAACCATTTAAAGAAATTATTCTTTGATCAAACTGCTCTCTTAAGAAGTTCCTGACTTGAATGGTGTTGTAAACCGGACATTCATCCTGTTGTAACCAGGTTCTTCTAAACTCATCTTCGGTTAGACTAGCTCGTAAAGCAGGGACATCCTGGTTTCGAAAAAGCTCTAGGTACCTCTGTCTGTTTAGGTTCTAGTCAAACAAAATTGGTCCTATAAGTAGATGTCCTGGAATGATTTATATCTAATTCCAAATAGGTGCCCAATTGAAAAAGGTAAGTTAGATTAAATTACCAATGACCCCACACCAAACGTTAGTACCAAATCTGGTCTGTAGACGTCTTTCTGCCACTTCGTGAGTGTTTTCCACAGATCAATGATGAATGTTGTGCTTATTGAAAACTCCACAATTCGTAAACCTACTCTCATCGGACCACAAGACATGATTTACAAAATCGGGATTTTCATTAGACTTACTAGTCTACCACTCACAGAAGCGCATTCGACTTGGAAAATCAGTTTCCTAAGTCCTTGAACTGTAGGTTTGTATGGATGGTACTTATTTAACACCCTCTGCACTGTTGATTTTGACACACCAATTTCTCGTTCTATAGTTCTTACTGATGCTCTAGCGATTTCGTTGACAGTTTGTAAAATGTTTCTGTCTTGCGATTTTCATTTTCAATACTGTATCCGCTTCTAGGTTGTTCGAAGGCCCCCATGTTTTATTTTATTAACTACTATTTTTCTAAATTGGGTTTTATGGGGCTGCCGTCGTTCGGGATACATATCCAAATACCTTGCTGAGGTAATGTCGGCGCATCTGTGTCACTGCAAGTACAGCGCTAACATATCAAACTATCATTTGAGTAGGGATACTGGCCATTTTCAAAGGTTTTTACAGTTCTTTTGTCTGATTTATGATCTTAATGAGGGAAAACGTACCTACTACTTATTGAAACACAATTTTGATACTTGGCCTTCTTAGAAAAAAATTAATACATAACATTACGTGGGATGATATTTCGATGATACTACAATTTTTTATGCACTGGAAATTTTACGCTATTTTCAAACATCGAAAAATGCAAATGGCGACCATAAGAAAAATGGAAGTTGAGGCAGGTTACGGGAAAACAAGACGATTGAGACATGTCATACACGCTATTGGATTTGCCTTAAAAAAATGTCCGAATAACACATTTCGACAGCTGTCAAATTAACCGTTTGGGATTTACTAGCAAAAACAAAATTCGACCTTTTCGTTTTTTCGCCGATATTTCCAAAACCAATTGACTGATCGTAAATCTGAAACTGGCTATCGAACGCACTAAGTTTCCTCTATTCCCCATTTAACCTTTGCTGTAGGTTGGTATAACAGGAGCCGAGATCCCTGTATATAAGCGAATCTGGTACACACTGTATATACCTATACCGAAATTTGTTGATATTTGTAGTGAAAGTCGGAAATAGAGCATGTAATATTGTAAGGATTAAGCATTTTTGTTCAAACTTACTTTTGTTTGGACATCTATTCATGGTGTGATATTTTTTTGCCATTTGCAGTCTACAAACCCCCATCGTTGGGACTTTTCTTTACAGAACGTATGGATCAGGCATTAATGAGCAAGTTTTCCTAGTAGCACATATCTCAAAGCCTTGCGATAATCGCTTCTGCCTGCGCGGCTGCTTCGGTAAAAAAAAAATGTCGAGATCACAGATACGCATAGGTTTTCGAAAACTTCCTCAAGGAAACTTATTATGGGACCTCTTCCAAAGTCTTCATTTTTCACGAAAAGTGCGAGCTTTTCCATTTCCACAATTAACCCTGCGACTCGCGGTCACATATCGAACCGCATCCGAGCCCCATTGACTTTCCCAGCCTGCGAACGCCCAGTTCGCATCTAGAGTGCGTGCCGTGAGGATGACGCTATCTTTGATCGTCAACCGTTTATCCACGACGTCGACGCCTTCCATGTAGCGATTTCACTCACGTTGGAAAAAAATTGCCGGCGATTTTCTTCGACAGTTCTCGTTGAGTGAAAGTGTCCGGTGTTACTTCCGTTTTCTGTATATTGGGGTGATTAGCATGGAAATATGCGCGTAAGTTACTGACATATACATCGAGCATAGTTTTTTGCATACCGGTACTTTGAAAATTTCCATTTTCTTACTTTTTACAAAATTGTCATAACAATCGAAATCTATGGATTTCCGTAAGCATAACCTCTCATACATCGAGATCGCGATTTTTACATTTGCGATTTTTCTGTGAAGGGAAAAATTATAGTAGATAGCCCTTACGATACGCATATTATGGAATTTTCCTTCAATCGTGCTTGTTCTTTTCTGACTTTTGTTTGAGGGACTTCAAAATAAATTTTATATTAACATTACCATTCAATATGAGGTTTCGTCGCTTATGCTCAGTTATTTTTTTCTGATGGACGCCACTGGTTTTTTGCATAGGGATTGATATAAAACTTCAAGTGCCTAAAAAAGTAATATTTCTGTAGTTGGTCTTAACTCATCCAATAAAGGACATGACTTTCATATTATGTTAGGGTAGTAATGAAAACATTGAAAACGAAACTATTTTAAGAAGCGGATAGAAAATTCTCGACGATGTAGCAGGCTACGGCTACTAAACAATATTTCATATCCATCATATCTAAACCGATGCACACAACTTGCATTTAAGTAATATTACGCCTGAGGTGCCATGTAGAGTGTGGCAGCCATGTTAAAATGTCGCTTCTTGTAGTCGATAAATGAGTAAATTATCTGAATATCCTTTAAGCACGGTTCTCAAAAGTAGGAACAATCTTTGATTGATGTAATCAAGTGAACATGTGATGATTTGTCATTTCCAAGCCAGCTGTGGAAATATTAGATTCTTTGCAATAACTAAAGTTTGACAATTTCAATGTTTGATATAAATTAACTGTATTCACCTGTGAAAAATTCAATATGGCGTTCATAAGAAAAACATGAGGTTGGCTGCTTAGGGCAAGAAACAAAACGTCCTATTGAAATTCGAATTATTCCACCTTAGAGAAGGAGAGAGAGAGAGTACTGTGGCTATTTCAATGTGCAATTTATTTTAAAATCCCTCAAAGAAAGGAAAGGAAAAATAAAAAAGATTTTAAGAAAATGTGGTTTATTTCGTCTGTCTCTGGAAATACCATGAATTACAAAGCTTTCTAGTGCCATATGCTTAGTAACTTAAATGCGCAACTTTGCCCCCAGTGAACCGACTTCCTATCTCTTACCATTTCCGAGATCCCAATAGTGAGAGTCGAATTTGAAACTTCCGGTATGTCTCTGTCCTGAGTTTTTTTTAGATCTATTCAAAAGTATTCCAAAATATGTTGTTGTTTCTATTAAGCGTTCGTTACGTATTAATGTAGTTCCGTGTTCATAACGATACTTAGTTACCTTGAAATTGAAGCATCAAGCTTTATTGACTCCATGACATTTTATTTGTTTGAATTTACATAGTTAATATTTGTTCGTGGAGACCATAAAGCATAAGGATTAATTGACCCATTAGTTAGGCCAATTATTGTAGTTCAAATGGAGAGGACCTACGGGATAAAATATTATTGGGGCCGTAGAACCCCCCTAGAATTATGGTAGATAATTAATAAAATGTAACTCTCACTCTCTCTTGCATTTTACGTATTTGAAAAATAGTATGCTGGCAAATAGTTGTGACAATGCATGTACATCCCACAACGTCAACGCGGGTGTTCCCCAGGGATCGGTCTTGGCTCCGACACTGTTCCTCTTACATATCAACGACCTCCTTTCCTGCATGATCATCCCAATCCACAGCTTGGCTGATGACAGCACTCTACATGCAGGAATTCAGAGTGACAAGCCGATCTCTGCCGCTGAGCTGGAAAAAAGAAGACTAGCAACGGCTTCCTCTCTGACGAGAGACCTGGAGGTTATCACTGCTTGGGGTCGCAACAATCTTGTACAGTTTAATGCTTCCAAAACAGTACAGTACTGTACCTTGACGAACAAAAAGCGTCCTAGCTCCCATCCAGTTTCGATGGAAGGCCGAGTTCTGTCAAAGAGTCATTCATTTCGGATGGTCGGAGTCCAGATCACCGAGGACCTGATTTGACACATCTCGTCAATAGCGGCAGTTGCTGGGAAAAAGCTAGGCTATTTGTTTAGGGCTATGAAGTACTTTTCTCCGCATGACCTTCTCACTCTATACAAGGCCTAGATAAGGCCTAGCCTCGAGTATTGCTCACAGGTTTAGGGTGCTGCCGTCCCGACTACATTATTTATGCTCGATGCTGTCCAGAGGAGGGATTCTACCGCTACACCAACGGGCTTTGCTCCTCAGAGCTCTCTTCCATGATGCCGCCGCGCGATGTGCCTGCCAGCGAGACCCGCCTGACTTTGGCCTCCCATCCTAACCGTGTCAAACTTCGTACATCTTGAACTGGCCGATAAACCATTGGACAGGAATTTTAAATGGTAAAATGATCGGTCCGTTTGAGTTCCCAGAGACTTTGACTGCTGAGGTTTATTTAGGTTTTTTGCAAAATCATTTAGAAAATTTATTGGAGGACGTGCCACTGAGTATTTACAGGGACATGTGGTTTCAGCATGATGGCTGCCCAGCGCACTATGCACTCTCAGTGAGAGAGTATCTCGATCAAAACTTTCCAGGCAGATGGATAGGGCGGTCTGGTACAATACCGTGGCCAGCCCGGTCACCAGATTTGAATCCGTTAGATTTTTTTTACTGGGGAACTGTAAAAGAAAAAGTGTATTTCAAGCCGATTCAAAATGTAGCTGAGCTACGGCAAAGACTAATGGAAGCAGCTGAGTTTGTTAATAACCGTAGATTCGCTCGTTTAATAACCCGATCTTTTTTAAGATGTCGAGCGTGTATTGCGGCTGAAGGAAAACAGTTTGAGCATTTGCTGAAAAGGTAAATCATCATCAGCAGCATTTTGACGCCCACTGTTGTGCAAACAGTTATCGTTAAGGGTCCTTGTGCGTTTTCATAATCGCTGTTTAATTAGGAAATTTTGAAAAATTTTCATGTGTTTTTTTCAAATAAAAATTGTGCATAAGTTAACGGGTAATCTTCTAAGCGTTATATCATTTTGGAATCGTTATTAAATGCGCCAACTTTTAAGGTTACTTGCCAAACTCTCGTAGTACATTTTGTCCAGTACAGCCAGTTAAAGTTGAGCAAAGTTTTACTTTGGAATACTTGGTTGGGAAATAAGTGGCAATTTTTCCTGAACGAGAAAAGTTGACAGTAAGGTTGAGACACCAGTTTGAAGATGCATTATTCATCATTACATTGTAAAAATAGAATCCAAAAAAAGTTAATATTTGTAGTAACAGGAGTTGACAGACTGCCGTAGGGTGTGAAATTTCTATATCTTTTTCAAAGACCTTTAATTTTCAAAACACATACATAAAATTTTTTTAAATATTTTTCTGATAGCTGTTATGACTATCACCCGGTTTCGGCTTTTGACGTCGACTTCTGTCTATCATATTTGATTAGGTATATTTTGTGACATCAGCTTCACTTTAAATAATTCTTCAAGTACATACATATAAAAAGTAAATAGATTATAACTATAATATAGGAAAAACAATAACCGAAGAACTTTTGTGAAGGGCATAAGGCATTCTTCATAAAGGCGTCTTTAGCTAACGCCATCGTAGGGCACGAGGTGGATTTTTTAGTACAGTGAAACCTGCCGGTCACACCTCGAAATCACATTTTCATGACAATCCATGACTTGGCAACATCGCAACTGGATAGAGAGAGTATGATAGTGATGGTGGTGTAGTGATGGGAATATTTATTTGAAATAAAAGAAATCACTACTTAACAATGAACTATTTTCATCATTAAAATAATGCAAAATTGCATTATTGCGATGAAAAGTATCACAGTAACTTACAGTGTATTTTATATTCATATAATTTTGAGCAAACTTTTGTGTAAACAAGAAAAAAACAGCTTATAAAGCAGTATTCTATACCACATTGTTACCAGCCAAAATGCAACTTTGAAGTTCTATAACATAGCAAGCAGAGGGTTCCTTAAAGAAAAAATTATATTTTCGTGCAAGTTATGTCCTAATCTTTCATTTTAAAATAAGAAATAAAATATTTGCGATATGCGTTAAATTATAGTTCAACCGATAAAACTGCCATAGCTGTTGTATTTGTATTTCTTAAATAATGTTTTATTAGTTTTAATTTTAAAAAGCTTCTTTGAATGCAAGCAGTGCTTACAAGTATGTATTGTTAACAAAATTTGAAAAACAAGGTAAATATTTGCTTACCTTTTTTGCAAATTTCACCTGTGTAATGGAGTTGGATAAATTTGGGATCATATTTTGTAATTCTTGATATAATTCTTAAGGTTGGAAGTCCCTGCTTGCGACTTGCAGGATTTATATGTATAATAAATACAACATAGAAGGCAGCTTCAAGTTTAACAAATCGAAATTTAAAATAAATAATAGAGATAATTTTGTCATGTATTGTTTGTAAATAAAATTATAGAAAATATGAGTGTAAGTATAATAAATATTTCATACCGTATTCTTGGCAACTAAACACAGGTACTATAAAATAAAATGTTGCCAGACGAAATTTAAACATATGACCAGAAACGACAAAAATGAGAAATTTCTAATTGGCCTTACGCCGCCTCTAAATGTGTACTATTAATTTGTTTGAATGAAATTGCAATTGCAATTTGCTTGATCTAGTCTTTAATTTAGTTGTCAACTTCCCTGTTGTTTTCTATATCTATACCTCAATCGAGTTGATCTTAGGTTTTAGTAACGCCAAACTTCTGAAGTATTACGGCTCAAGTGGCCTTTAATCTGTACCAGCAATATTTTCTCTATTAATAATTTCAAGTGCTTTTAAAAGTGTATATTACCGTAAAATATAACGTGTATATCTAATGG